TTCACTCGTATCCAACATAAGTACTTATAACTATGTGTCTACTCAGTTAAGGTAAATGGAATGCTACTGGAATGTTCAGCTAATTCTAAATTAGATTCAACTGTATATCTGGGCGAGGAGCTCAGTCGAACTTCGCTCTAGTAATAAATAGTAAGCAAAACACAAAAATAATGAGTAAGGGAATTAATGAAAAAAATACTTGACGACTAAATACATAGGCTCACGAAACTATTTACGCAGTTAAACTGTAAGACATTTGAGCCTCTATTACACTACAATGGAAACATGAAATAGTATAGATTCAAATAATTGCCACGCCAAATTAATAAACTTTATGAATATTTGTCCAAGTAGTGGATATAATAACTAATTAATTATTATTATATTGTATACAGATGTGTGGTTACGAGGTACGCGCTGCGGTTATCTGGGGTTTTACCAGTCGCGACTGCTGTGTGCAAAACAAAAGTATGCAAGTAATTAGTACAAATTTGAATTGATTGAATTCGTTAGCAATTTTAAATCGCTTTCGATTGACTAGAAGAGAATCCAATGAAATTACATCCTTGGCTTGACTTTCTTCGACCTTGGACAATCTTTGACTTTTTGAACTTGTTTATAATTAATTAAAGATATAAATAAATAACCCATCCAGTGCAAAAGTAGCAGTATCTGGTAGTTAAAAATAAGTTAAGTCAATACATTTTTGAAATTGTCAAAATCGTGAATTATGTGCGATGACTGTTTTTTCATTTCTATAAATTTTGAATGAAAATAAGATAAGTTCTTAGGTACTATTCTATCGAAAGCTATTGCAAACATCATATTAATGGTCACTAGAAACATTTTTATGGAGCGAGTCATACAGCTTATCTTTTACGGTCATGCAAACTAATCACAACTTGTACAAAATTTCAGCTAAAACTTTCAAAAACAAAAAAAGCTGTTTCAAAACTATTTTGCAAGATTCCACTTCACAAACACATACGTAAAGTGCAACTGAACTTTTGACCTTCACTGCACTTACATATTTTTTAAATATTTATCATTAAATTATTAATTTGCTAGAATGCAAGCTACGCCTGCTTGTGCTTTAATATCTCTTCATCTTCGAGCGTTTTCGCGGCGTTCGCAGTGTGCGATGTAATTACGAGCACTCGATGCTGATGCTTACGTATTTCCCCACAACGACGGACGTGTGACGTCACACTATCAGGCACAATGCGGATACCTCCGAACTGATACGAATGTTCACATAACTGATCCATGAAAAAATATTTGTAGTGTATTGTGCAATACAGCGGGAATATCTAGGTATACAGTGGGTATAAGTTGAAACTGCTAAGAATTATATATTTTATGTATCTTCGTTCAGCTTTGTGATTACATCTCTTATGGCGACACCAGAGACGTTCCATCCCGTTGCAGGGAACACTGAGCTAGTGGTGAGCAGCTGGGCTGACCCTCCACAGCGCTCCTCGCAGCGCTATTCTTGCTGTAACGTATGACGGATATTACGTCGCGTCATCCGTGTTCTAGTTAAATAACTTATCAAACAATGCTCTTATTTCACAGCTAATGGAGGCCGCCATAAAGACAACTATTCACTAAATATTTGCTAAACTGTATCTTGTATTCTTGTCTCATGCATAGGAGTCTGAATTGGGTCTCCATTTATCTTAATTATGTTGTAAAAAAACAATTGAAATGATTTAAGAACTACAGTTTCCGGCCAACAAAGCATAACATTGTTGAGGATTGATGTGAGCATTACATAATAATGCGATATTTGTAGTTAAGCGGTAACAGTCGGTTACAGGTCGTAGGTAAGTTAAGCTATAGCTTGAACGGCTTTCTTTAGACAATAGACAGTTAATCTTAAGCCAAATTTAGTGGAAAATTTGTGGAATATGTCTCGGCGCTAATGAGGCGGTGTGTGAGTAGCTTTAGACGATTACAATAATTGCGTGTCTGAGTGTAGGTGAAGCGCATAGATTACGCGCAACGGGCGCGCGGCGCGCATTGTGCGCGTTATTGATGTGACGAGTGACGGGCGCGCGAGTTATTGTATCGGCCGGCAGCCGACGCTCACGCCAGGAACGTACAATATTGTCACAATCACACTGCTAACTACGTATCTCACCTCCTTAACGAGGTTTCGTACATACTTCACAGTATGTGCTGTAGCCATCTATGTAGGGGTCTATTAACGAACATTTTACTGCTTGCTTTGCTTACCGCTTGTAAATTAGAGATGAGATACATGCACATCACCCTGTAGGAACTTCAGCGCACCGCCTTGAATCTCATATTACGTACATATAAATAGCCGAGGTAGGTACAAACGTTTGTTTACTGAATATTGCTCGCATATACATAATTCACTGACAAAAACATATTTGTTGTAAGATAAGAAAACCGCGCGCGTGTCACAGTGCGGCGCAGGCGGCGCAGGCGGCCCTGTGCGCACTATGTCGGCCTCTCAATAAACACGTCGCGGCGACAGCTCCCTCAGATATTCGTGTGCTGCACTCCAACAGCACTTTACGTGTACATGTCTCATTTTACAGAGAGTTACTGGAACAGGTGCAGCTGGAAGCCAGGGATAGCGCTGCAGTATTACAATTGTGTAAGAAAAACAAATAAGTCGCCATACTTTCTTCTAATGGTGTCCTTCGTTCGTATCGCTAAGGAGAAGCTCTGCTTCTACCAGTACTAAGTTTATGTACTTGTGACATGATAGGCTAAGCTATTACATAATTACCGCCTCTATATTATGCGTACTTATATACAAAAATACATATAAAAATAGATAGTAGTATTGCACTTCCTTCATGTTTTCTGATTCTTTACAACAGTCGCCGCTGATGATAATATTGATTATAACTTTCTTCATCTGCCGTATTCTAGAACTGTTCAAATCATTGTTGTTGTTATGAAATTGTTTTGCTGACATGTAAAGAGCTCTCTGACGTCAATGTACTTGAGACTTTACTCCAATTAGCCGCTGTTATGCCAGTGATAACGTCTATTTTTCTAACAGTACCATATCGCATTAGCTGGACGAGCGCTGGACCAATCAGGAGTGGGATGTGATCTGGTATCGGCGCAATAAGGTAAAATTCCCGTCACTTCAGATAACGCACCGGCCGCGTCCGACTGTGCGCCTGTGTGCGTGCACGAGCTCGTACGTGACACAGGCAGCTGTGTGTGTTATCTGGCGCACTCATTCATACGAGTATGTATCGGTGCATTTGCGTACGCGCATCGCCGCGCAGTATCAGTGTCATTCATATACATACAGGTAAAGTATTACATATATGAGTTTTGGGAATTAAATTAATTGGGACTTTGATTTCAATATCCCAACGATACGTTTAGTAATAATAAAACATTCCCTCCAACAAGGTACAAAAGGAAAAATGGAGGCGTTTATAGGCGACAGATTTTATTTATTTACAATATTTTGGAAGCGAATACAATTGGAAAATCTTATATTATTAAAAAAATAGTAAGAAACACTTATTTGTACTAATTGGCGTGGCAGACAACTAAAATATTTTACTTTTACTGTTGTTATAGAGTTTTATTGATTCAATCAGAAATATTAAATTTTCTGTTTGTTCATTTTCTGTTAGGTAGGTACTGACTTTGTAGATGTTTTTGTTCAACACACAAGATGTTTAACATTCAAGTGTTTGTTTCCTAAAGGTGAGGGATGTAGTGAGGCGATCGCAGCGATGCAGGTGGCGCCCCCCCCCCCCTCGGCCTCTGACACGCGTATCGTGCGCAGATAACACGAGAAGCGCGCGCGCCTGCGCACATCGCGCGTCTCATTAACTGCTCATGTAATTAGGTACAATACACATATTTGTTGACGGGGACCCTGTAATGTTTGTTGATGAATTCTCAAAAAATACTTTCTGTTTTTCCTCCGAAATGTATTTATTGGCTTAATACATAAGTATGCGTGTTCAGCCGATAGCGATCCAATCCAGCGTACAATACAGCGTCGATCGAGAAGTAGTCCCAGCTCGCTACAATGACGTGCACTGATTAAACAAATAAGTTTCGCTCGTACATTACGAGTACGCACTCACTACAGCGAGTACGCACGGCCGCGCTCTGTGCTCACACACTACGTGACGTCGCGAGGTATTCAATGATTTTTGGTAATTTGTTTTCAAGTGCATGATTTATTTATAATGAAGTATTTTTGCTATAGAATTAGTGTGTTCTCTTTATGATAACTTAAAGTTAAAATTCTAGTTTGAATACCATTGGAATAAACAATAGGGACTATCCTGCAATGATTTTTCAAACCGTGGAAAGCAAATATGATAATAAATTTCAGACGCGTTCTTTCGTCCTTCTCCATCGGAATCTACACTTTGGAACGAGCAAAATAGCTTCACTAAGAGGACTGACCGACAGACTAACAAAATTTATATATCTCCAAAATTTTCTAATTGGAATAAAAGATTTTTTACTTATTTTGACTTATTTTTTTGAGACTAATTAGAAGTATTAAATGAATCAAAAAATGTGGAAGTGGCACTAGAACTCATTGAGAAAACTTACAAAAAATAATATAATTTGTGGAAATTTGCCTTCGCCTAGTGTGTACCGCGCCGGCCGTCAGCGAATTCTTCCAATCTGTGTAACGTCTGGTGATTCGCGTTCCACTTATTATCGTACCGTGGGCATTTGCATAAGAATAACAAGGAGGATTATTGATGTCCCCCCCGCCCCGCACACCGCCACCCCCGACCCGCACCCCACGCCCTGGCTCCTGCCCGATCACCGGGAACTGACACATGTGGATAAGAGAAAGAGATTTACTTGCTGTGACGGTGGGATTCTTTGTTCTAGAGGTTCCTGACAATTTTAAATAATTATTCAATAAATTGCACAACAATTAAGGTTTGCCTACAAGATTAAAATAGTCTTGACGGCTTGCGTCGCTTGCTGCCCCCACCCACTGCCGCGCGTGCCTTGCATCACTCGCTGCCTGAACCCGCTGCCGCGCGTGCCTTGCGTCGCTCGCCGCCCGCGCGTGCTTTGTGTCGCTCGCTGCCCACGTCCGCTGCCGCGCGTGCCTTGCGTCGCTCGCTGCCCGCACCCGCTGCCGCGCGTGCCTTGCGTCGCTCGCTGTCCGCGCCCGCTGCCGCGCGTGCCTTGCGTCGCTCGCTGCCCGCACCCGCTGCCGCGCGTGCCTTGCGTCGCTCGCTGTCCGCGCCCGCTGCCCCGCATGCCTTGCGTCGCTCGCTAATGCTTAATTTTGTTCTCTTTTCATGTTTGCTCTGTATACATTTCGTCTAAAATGGAATAATTTGACGTAAGGCTGCCTCTGGCGCGGGCCGAGGTTGCGATGAGGCTACGACTGCAGATTTGCCACTATTGTCATAAATTACCCACTTATTTATAGGTGCTTATTGTTGTCTATAAATGTAGGCGCGGCTCCTGAATACTAATGCGGAGATTGTAACATTATCATAACAGCTTTCCGTATTAACAGTCTCCGCGAAGCAATTCGTGCGCATTACGCAGCAGCTTTAACGTTGTCCCAGTGACACTCGTGTTCCGGTTTACGTGCTTCATAAATTATTGTATTTATTATTACTTGTCAGACATTACGAGCGCCGCTCGCCACCACCGCCGCTAACTGAACAAATAGAACACAATACATTGCTTCGCTTACACTAATTCATTATTATACTTTTGGTTGTATTTACTGATCGCCAAGCTCTACCTTAATCCATATTCAAAACACAATTAAATTTATTTACATAAGACTTAGTACCTCAACGCGCAGTAAAATACCGGTAATACCTACAGTAGGTCCCTATTTTATAATAAAATTACTTGGTCCGGCATCAACTTGCATCAAAGTTATATAAGTGAAAAGTTTGTAACTACAGGGCATTAGTAAGTTAAGCCACCTCTCAACGGCCGGTGCGATTCAATTAACGGCCTCCGTAGCACGTGACAGCTACGAAATTGCTACGGTGCTTAGCTACGCGGCTACGCGGCTACGAGTTACGCCGGTAAGCAACTCCGGGGCTACGTGATTATGAAATACGTTTCAACATCTACGATTTACCCTATCAGTTCAAAATTAAAGCTTTTGTATTAGTTCACCAACTCAATGACTTTTGTGTGTATTACAGATTAATTATGATTAATGTTTCAAACAATTGCCGCCTTGCAATTTACGTTCCTTGATACAATGTACAACAATAAGATAAATGAAATTTCTTTGAATTTTTAATTAGATAATTTTAGAAAGGAAACATAAAGTTTCACACATTGCTAAAACACAAATTTCAATTCATACAAATCAAAAGCGATCGGTTGTTTTTGAAGGAAACTGGTTGGATGAGCTGGTCGAGGTTGACCTCAATCGGTCGCGAACTAAAACTGCCCGCTCAAATAACTCGCCCAAATTAACCTTAAATAAACTCAGCCGTTCGGACAAACGGTCTCGTTCCGTACATTTCCCACGATTAAAATTCCAAATTCCCTTTTTGCCAACAATTTCCGGTGGAGGTGTGTTGGGTATAAAGCGGCCTGTCCCTAAATCACGGGAGGCTCGGCTGCAATTCAGAGCGGAGTTACTTAATTCAATCATGATAACTGCGGTCCCTGCGCCCGCAAGAAATAAATTGACCAATGACCGCGCGCCGACCTGCCAGGGCTGCCTCTACAGCTGACGTCACGAGTGCCTGCGTGTGAGACCGGGCTCGTATGTTGTTGTAAGTACGTGTGTTTTTTTGGCTTTGTTCCCTCTAATATTGGAGTTAATCACGCGAATACATTTTTTATTTAAATGACTAGAGTTCCTCTCCAAGTTCCATTGTGTCCAATCTGGAGCAGACGCATTACATTGTTTGACGAACATAAATGATTACTCGCCGACAATACAATGAATACTGTAAGTATCGAATGTTCATGTCATCGAGTGATTTACGATTCGTCTCGATATTATTCATTCCTGTGTGTTGCCTAGATATTGTTTACCTTACTTGACATTCAAATGTATTTTCCTGCTAGTCACTTACATGCGGCGAAATACATATTTGTACAAATACATATGTAATAGTCATTACATTCATTACATTCATTGAAAATTACGACTTACAAGTTACGTTAATTAATCGAGAAAAGCTCTACTAGTTTCGTGCACGTTGCGGCGACGTCGCGCACACGACCTTTCGGATCGACCGATTTCTCAGTTAATTCATGTGAGTAAGTCGATATTTTGAATACATTTATATTGTCTCAAGATAGTTAACACACAAAAATTAAAAAAATAGATACAAAAAAATTGACTTGCTTCAATAAATTTTGCTTATATATTCATCACAATATTGTTTATAATATTTTGAAGGCAAGGAAACCGAGATCAAATAAACGGAGATGTTACACTAATATTAAAATGAAAATTGTTTTATAATGGTGGCTGTAGTGACAGCCCTGCTGTGGAAGAAAGGGCTAGTACCTGGCACGGTGTGGGGCGACCTTGCAGCGCCAGATAACAATTGAGAGTCGCTTGCCGCCACAAATTCAATATCCAGAGGTGTCGTCGTATCTCCACCGCCCCCCGCCACCGCGCCCCGCGCCCCGCTCCTGCGCCCTGCGCCCCCGTGCACCTTGTGTTTAGTGTCCACTAGCCGTCCTCTGTCCAGTGTTAAAGGGGATATAACCACTTAACGAGAACTGAAGTCTGGCTGGAATTGAATTTCCCAACTAGCCGCCGTGCACTAAAATATGTAGATAATGTTGGCTACGAACAGCCAAATCGAGGATTTCATCGTAAAATAAAGATTGATCAAAATATTAGTGGTCACACACAATATACTTAATCCCGATAGATAACTGAAAGTGTCCGTGATAACAAGTCGATTGTTTCAGTTACTGTAACATTGCAGACTTACTTATTACAATAAAAGGGTAAATAGTTTTAGGCTTATTGAAGTATAGAAATTATACAAAAGCATAGTTTAAAAGAGTTTGAGTTGTGAACAGGTTGGTCACGTATTGCGCGTTATCTGGTGTATGTGACATGCAGCACGCGCGGTGGAGGCGCTGGACGCGCGGCGCTCGGCGCTCGGCCGATACGAAGATAGGTCGGCGGCATATTAAACGACGATTAACCCACCGGCCGCTCTGATTTATGAGAACTATTAAAATCTCCGAAGGCAGAGAATTAATTGCACTACTTCAATGTTGGCTGCTTTATTAATTGGGACCGAGTCGCCTGTTGTTTATGGACGGTTCCCTTTGGTCGGGCGCGGTGGTCGGCGCCCTTATCGTGACCCGGCCCGCTCCAATTTGTCCACTCACGTTTCTGTTCAGTTTCAATGGCTATTAAGGACCCTACCTCTGCCTATCGAATATATTCCCTTTACTACTGCAGGCCCTGGTTTGGTTCACTACTTCATTACGTCACTCATTTCTATTCGAAAACAGCTTATGATATTTCATTTAGTGTTATTTGTTTTTTTTCAAAGTGAAAGTCAAAATCATTTATTTCCAATAGACAACTGTAGGCACTTTTGAACGTCAAGCAAAAAAAAAAGAGCAGAAATAAAATATATTTCAAGAGGTTTAACTTCATGCGTGTCAGTTTGTCCTCTAGTGAAGCTATTTGCTCGTTCCAAAGTGTAGATTCTTATGGAGAAGAACGAGCAAGAAACTCCATGGTTACTCTTTTTCAATCAGTTTTAAAAGTTACATCATTTAGTCGGTTCAGATATGTGAGAACAGTGTAACACTAATATTTAGGCAAAAAATTCGAAAAATTGTTCAAATTAATTTTCTTTCGGATAATCAAGCATTTTTATTTGAACTACTACTACAAGTATTTATATCTTTAACGAAAAAAGTTCCAAAGATTTTTGCAATATTTCAAAACACGCGTCAAGGGCTTCAACTAGAATGGCAGATCCAACGAGCCGGGGCCAAATGTAGATGTAATCACATTGAAATGACACGAGGGCACGCGGTGGGCGACTAATTTATAACTTGGACAAACGAAAATTATGTGCGTAGGTAGCCCTCACAACTCCGGCAGAAGTTTGCACATTTACATATAAATTTGAGCACGTTAAAATATCACCTTGTGCGTGGCGGTGTCGCGGTGCTCCCAACTAATTAGAACAACAATTAGCGCGCCTGACAAAGTTGTCGCGGGGAAACAGCCCTGTACCGCGTACCACTGGACGCCAGCTACCTGAATAATAATTTGGTTAAAAATGGCATTTAACAGTTTGCAAGTATTACGAGATAGGTTAGTAGGAAACCAACTGAATATTTGAATTCATTTCGTTATATATTTAAAACGATTAAATACATGAGAACCTTCTCCTTTTTAGAAGTCGTTTAAAAATAAATTGCCTGTAAAGCAGAAAGTTCGAAGTTATTTTTACTGTTACACCTAACGTTACATACAGTTAACGTATTGTGAGTTTAATAAAATAAATAAAATGATACCAATTTATTTACCAATTAAAGATTCGGTAAGTACGTCATGTGAGCGGCAATTAGGCTCGCGTCCCTGACCGCGCTATGAGATATGGCGCACACCTGCGACACACGGCGCGCCGCATCTAACGCCGTGCCCGCATTTATCTTACCAACCGACCTGAGGCACACACTGTTCTGCTTACAACCCTGTTGTCATACTCTTCGGCAATTCATTACTTTTTATATTTGTATGAACATAAGGTACTTCTGTAGCAAGCGTCCCCTAGGTGATATTACGCAGGACCCGAGGCGCGCCATTCCGATTTAAACTAAAAGAAATTTGACACAATCAGCCGCCATAAAACTGAATCCCTCTATTTAGATCATCTCAGCTGTCCGTGTGTCCTCGGATTTTTAACAAAACCAACTTATTTTATGACGGATGACTCAGCAAAATAGTTTTTGTGTGATGGTATTAAGGTGCACGTTTGTTTGGTGTGTGCGTCGGTGTCGTCCACCGAGGTAGGTAAGACAAGCACGCGATAAGTTTTATTGAGGCGGTGCCGGGGGAGCCGATAGGCGCGCCACTCGCCACGATAGCCGGTAAGATGGCACCGGACGATGGCCACCGCGACGATTACTGCGGGAAAGGATTGCGGATATCACAGGCTACTTTGAGGAGTTGAACAAAATACATCGGATTACGGAATGAACCTTGACTCTGCATTGAAATATGTGGCTCCATGTTATTCAAAATGAAAAATATCGGAGAACTGCCCCTTCTACTTCAAACAGTCGAAATCAGTAGGAAACTGCAGTGTAACCGCAGCGAGCAAACCTTACCTCAAGGGAGTGCGTCAAGCACGCAAAGATGAGCTTGGTAGGCTGAGTTCTGAGTATAGTCCTACGAGAGAGATATAAAAAATACAAACAAACCCTTAAAACAATTATTATTTACATATACTGATGGATTATTTACCAACCGCTGGGTAAGAACTCACTCACACACAAGTGACTCTCTTTTTTTCAACTTTTTCTTATTTGTTTTCAATTTGTATGTGAAGTTGTTTTTTTAAAAGCATTTTTAAATGTTATTTTATATTGTTTAGTCTGAAACTAGACTATACAGGTCTCTACTAACAGACCACGTGGAAGGAAAAAGCTCAAACTCAAGGTTTATAACAGTCAACCACTGATTGCACCATTTAATCATAAGACCTCTAATAACACGAGGTTGATGCTGTAAACCCTCGAGGAGGTCTCAACTGTTTCTCGGCTCCATCTCAACACTAGACCTAAATAAAGTTGCAATGCTTTAGAACACTTCGGGCTGATTTTTAAATAGCCAGATAAATGGTATCTGAGGAATAAAATTGTTGCTGTCACTGTCTTGTACAAACATTCTGACGCGACAGCATCATAATTATTCCCCAGCTTACTTTTATCTAACCATTGAAAATCAGCCCTTAATCACGAAATGAACAATAGACTAGTGGCCTCCACAGAATGCTCTCCTCGACTTGTCTAATCGTTCAATATCAGAGAATTTAAGTGTCGAAGCGCCATACTTTGGCACGAATGAGTCGGCTCGACTGGAGTGATACCACGCCCTAACAGAAAAACCGGCGTGAAACAACCACAGCGTTGTGTTTCACCGCGTGATTCTGGTTACCGGAGGCCCAATCCTTCCCCTCCCTTAATGCCTAAATCCGAACCGCTAATACCAAAACGTCGGCAACGCACTCGTAACTCCTCCTCTTCCTCAAAAAAGATGCTGACTTGGTGCCAATGGGACCACCTTGAGAGGGATAAGCTTTTGACCAAAAAAAGAATTATCAATATGTTATGACGTGGTTCATAATTTTTGTCGAAGTGGATTTTTTTTTTTTTGTGAGGGGAAAATCATCTAATGACTTCTCCCGCCCAGGGCCGGGCAGGAGGGAGTGTCAGACTCTTACTGACAAAAAACCCCCCTGTTCCTTCTCCTGCTCTATGCCGAGGTCGCGGTACCTCATTGCGCTTACCCCGCAACCCCGGCTGAACATCAGCCCTTTAGGGCCCCGTCTGTGGTGGTCGAATGGCTCTTTGAGGCGCGCGCGGAACGCTACGCGCCGTACGCTCGGGCCTGGTTCTGGTCGGGCGGCGAGCTGCCCTTACTCGCCGATCGCAGGCCCATGCTTACGGTGGCCGGAGATCGTCCCTTGATCCCCGACGCCCGTAGTGTCGCCAGTTGCGGCTGCTGGGGCGTGAGGAGGAGGATTGCTCCCTCACGCGGGCCGCCTCTCTCTTTGCGAGCATGACTGCTTCACAAAAGGAGGAGACGGCGTCCCAGTTCCTCTCACTCCGCACCATAGCCTCGACTAAGGCCGGGCGCGAGAGGTCGCCGCCGCCGATCACTTCCCTGAGGATACGGCGGTGCTCAGCCCAGGCAGGGCATACCGCTACCGTATGCTCCACCGTATCCTCTAGGTGGTCCTCACAATGTCGAAGTGGATGACTTCGACGTTTATGCAAACAAACATAAAGAGTATATGAGGCGAAGTGAGAAACTTTCTTGTTTGAAAATCGGTAAAAATACGTCGTACTACCACATGAGGACCAGAAACCTAATAATCTGTTCTATGTCTATATATAAACTTATAAAACCAATTAAGTACGAATAAGTTTTATTATTGTGTTATTCATTCTGCAGGATCTTAACAAAATATTTTCATAACTGTAGTGAGTTTGCCCCCCGATGAGAGCGCAGACTAAACAGTGCATTGACACCTTCAGTGCGCGCATAAAGTAATATCATTGTACAAAAACTTATTTTGTCTTTACGGTCACTTAGATTTGAAGATTACTACGTCGGGAGAAAAAACTGGTGACAGCGAAAATTTCGAATCTCCCGCTAGCCCCCGGCGAACATAAAACGCGAGAGCCGAAAGGTCGCCGCGAGGCGCGGCCGAACACAAAAACTCCATCTTATCGCGAGTGGCGTCGCAGCGCGCATACAGACAATATGTTCGGTACCGAGCTCCGATCATCATCACTTAGAAGGATTCGTGATTTGATTACATGCACCAATCTACTCAGAAGTCAGGAATAGATGGAAGCATGTTGAGTAGGTAACGGGTGGTTCACGTGCGAGCGTGATAGATACATCAGCCCGATACGATGGCCCGGGGCGTGGGGACCGCGGGACCATCATGAAATCTGGCAATAGGCACCCGCCGGGGATCCGTTACGGGTTGACGACCGCCGCGCCCTCTATCTGTTGATCGTATAACGGTCTCTCGTGAAAGAGTACATTTTTCTGATAGATTTGACACTTAAATATCATGGCGCCATAATATTGGATGCGAAGCACGTAGCCGCGTTTCGTCAATATCAGATTTTAAAATAATAAGTTTCGTTATTTTAGATTTATTATTACATTACTGTGTGGTGACACCTTTCTTCGGTAGTAAATATGGAAATATATAGGATTAGTCGACACCACAAGAAAAAGCTCGCGGTAATGAACAAAATAATAATAAATTGGACTGCGTTGTCAAAAGGGATCCAGAAGAGATTATAAAGAAGTTCGATAAGAGTATTCGCGATTCAATCGAGATCTCGGCTCCACTAATCTAATTACGCTCCACCGTCTCTTTGTGCGGCGCGCGCCGGCCTTCGTTTGTTTATTTCCTTTGCCTCGCGAGCTGATATATATTTTTTTGTTTATATTTTTCGCGGAGTTTGCGAGCGCTCAAAGGCGGAGCCGAGTTATGAAATTGTTCAAGCGTTAATTGTAGACGTCCAGTGGCGAATATTAAAGTGGTCGAGTGCGCCGAGGCCTGTATAACTAACTAGTTAACCTCTCCGCTCGCTGGCTACACGCCGCGCGCCGGAGCTTTAACGCAGCTCACCAAAAATGTTATTGAATTAGTGTACCGCGACCCGCTGATACATATCGCAGTACTGGGTTACATGTACACCAGTCGCTTATTGCGACAATGTATTAACGAGGTGGGGCGCGGCTTCTGCTTGATGCAGTTTGCGTGGAACCTCATTAGTAATAAAAAGAAACGTTCATTGTTATCTAATAATATAATCGCAGAGCAGATCGACGGTTGGCAGAATAATATTAGTGGAGCGGCGGCAGCGGTTGACTCGGTCGGTCATTTAGTGAGTGTCGAGCTCGGCGGTGGGCGGGCGACGACTCGATTTTTTCCTAGTGATTGGTAATCGGCGAAGTCATTAGGAAAGCCACGCTTTGTTTTTTACGTCGAGGGTAATGGTGCGAAAAATGTCGTTAGCGAACAAAACACCGTCCGCCGAGCATTCAGGTGAAGAGGTCACTCGAGTGACGGCCGCTGTAGCCGCACCAGTCTGTCTCGATCCAACGGATACAACACAAATGCTTTATAGTTATACTATGCAGGTATATTAATATGAAAATATAAAAATGAGGTTCAAGCCTTTTCTTTATTTACAGAATTTAACAAATCTTTAATATTTATCTATTATTGAATGACTTTGGTAAGTAGTAGAATAATATAATTAATAATTTGCCAATTACTTTGGTGTAACCGTAACAAACGCCAGTAACGAAGTAAACTTTTAAAAGGTTCCGGAGTAATAAAACAGTGCTGTGCGTCACGCAGTCGCCAGACTTGAGAACTGTGGAGCGGCCATTATTTCATTACTTTGCCCAATAAAACGAATTAAAACCTAATTAGACGCCGCGATTTTTGAACATTAAAAGAGGGGCGGAATTAATTAGTGGAGGGCAGAGGCAATGATTCCAGTTCGGCGAGTAATTGCCGCTCCACCGTTTCAAATATAAATCAGAGAGCGGCGCGAGTCACAGGCGACGCTCCACCTTGCATACCTTCTTATTTGTATGTAGAGAAGACCTTGATAGTATTTGTGTGTTTTTTAGCTTTAGATTATGATCTCAGCTTAAACATACAATAAACAAGATGTACTTAGGAGGATGTACGATGCATGTTCCCGAACTGCCCCTGCAAACTGCTGGCCCGCTGCCGCCTTCAACTTGCACCACGAGGACATGTTCAGGAAAAATCTCGGTGTAACAGTCTTATGATTCACTTTGAAGGGTGAAAGAGATTTCATTGAATCAACGGATGAATTATTCTGTTTGTCCGACTTTTTAAACGTTTGCCTTCGACCGCGCTGTTTGGACAGCAGATTGTTACGAGAACAAATTGAGCTTCTTTTGTGTGAATGCACGTATACAACTACGTGTAGATTTCACTTTATTGTCAGTACATGATTGGTCTGTCTGTACAACACAGTCCATTATTTCTCTACATTTAGTTCCTGTACGTATTCGGAATTGGATAGATATTACAGAAAACTCGGAATAAAGTAATAATAACCAATTGCATTACTAATAACTTAGTTATATCGATTATTGTGAAACTTAAATTCTTGATTTTCTCAAATGATTGTTATTAGCTAGAATGGATTGAGAATAGAAAGTGTTTACGAAATATAAGTGAGTGGCTGGCGCAAGTTGTTCCAAGTTCAATCAATTATTTGAGAGTGAAAGTAGTTGAAACTGTTGTTGTGAGCGCCACTGCCGGCACGCGGCGGCCATTGCTATAAATCCTATTATTTAATAACGATTAACTCGATTCGTTCATTTCGCAAATTAAATCGAGTTTTGTTATAGGCTCCCTTTACAAACACCTTTACTTTATTCATTAATCTGTTAGGCAGCGTAGTATTATCAAAGTTCCTGCTTAATATGTTATGAGGCAATATATCAGGTCGTTAGCCATGTTTGCACGGCATATCGGTGTGAAAGCAAATTACCAGTAGATGAAGGACGGAGCCTTCCGGCGGCCATTTCGATAATGGCGGTGTTTGCACAACTTTGACAGCTCGGATGAAATGTCGCGCGATTTTTACTAATTAAAGGGGTGCTATCGACGGGACTGCGGTCTGCGCGCTGAGGTACTCTTTGCTGTGATTTGTAGGGAGTGCTTCTCCTTTCGGAATAATTACATTTTCAATGCATGGAATTAGTTAAAGATATTTCCCGGGATATCTAGGTGAGCTTGCATAATACTGGCTGTTCATTCAGATTACATTTATATAATCTTATTACAAGTACTTGTTTTTCTTGTATTTATTTAATGGGTGTCGTATAAAGGATGCATTTAATAACATAAATTATGTGAAGTAAAGAGACTGTGAAATCAGAAATGCCTTCTCCGAGTACTCAGATTAAAATGACTCGAAATGTTTCTTTGTTCAAAATATTTTTGTGTTCATTATTATCCAACAATTGTATGGAGTTGATGAGGTTTGTTGCGGTGCTCGTTCTGCCTGCAGATCCGTAGTGCACGTAATTCAGGTCACAATCAAACTGCCACCACTCTCCACAACCGGCAGTTGGGACTCGAGGTGGCGCTCCACAAGTCCGAGGCCATGTGCTTCTATGGCCGTCGGAGCGCGCCACCTCCAGGTGGGTCCCAAGTAACGGCAGGAGGAGTTACCATCGGCGTCGAGTCGGCGATGAAGTACCTGGGTCTCGTCCTCGACAGCCGATGGAACTTCACGGAGCATTTTCGTCGTTTGGCCCCTAAGCTAGAACGGTCTGGGGCCGCGCTCAAGCGGCTCCTTCCCAACCTCGGGGGGCCAAACGCCTCCTGCCGGAGGTTGTATATGGGGATTGTGCGATCCATGGCCCTCTACGGTGCCCCTGTGTGGGCGCCGGACTTGAAGCGGCGGCCGGCTCGTACGCTGGTCGCGTCCCAGAGGGTCATGGCTATACGAGTAATCCGCGGGTATCGCACGATCTCCGGGGAGGCGGCGAACCTCCTTGCCGGATCACCGCCGTGGGATCTAGAAGCGAAGGCGCTCGCGCGCGTCTACAGTTTGCGCGCAGACGCGCGTCGCCGGGGCGAAGATCCTCTGCCGCGCCAAATAAGTGCGTGGCGGAATGAGCTCTGGCGAGATCTCATGGCAGAGTGGAGACAACGACTGTCGCAACCGAGGGCCGGGCACGCTACCATAGCAGCGGTAAGACCCCTCTTTGAGGAGTGGCTTGAGAGACGCCACGGCGTCCTCACCTTCCGTCTGACGCAGGTGCTTACCGGGCACGGCAGCTTCGGTAGGTTCCTGTTTCGGATTCAGCGGGAGGAAACGCCCGAGTGTCGTCATTGTGAGGACCACCTAGAGGATACGGTGGAGCATACGGTAGCGGTATGCCCTGCCTGGGCTGAGCACCGCCGTATCCTCAGGGAAGTGATCGGCGGCGGCGACCTCTCGCGCCCGGCCTTAGTCGAGGCCATGGTGCGGAGTGAGAGGAACTGGGACGCCGTCTCCTCCTTTTGTGAAGCAGTCATGCTCGCAAAGAGAGAGGCGGCCCGCGTGAGGGAGCAATCCTCCTCCTCACGCCCCAGCAGCCGCAACTGGCGACACTACGGGCGTCGGGTATCGAGGGACGATCTCCGGCCACCGTAAGTACGGGCCTGCGGTCGGCGAGTAAGGGCAGCTCGCCGCCCGACCAGAACCAGGCCCGAGCGTACGGCGCGTAGCGTTCCGCGCGCGCCTCAAAGAGCCAATAGACCACCACAGACGGGGCCCTAAAGGGCTGATGTTCAGCCGGGGTTGCGGGGTAAGCGCAATGAGGTACCGCGACCTCGGCACAGAGCAGGAGAAGGAACAGGGGGGTTTTTAGTCAGTAAGAGTCTGACACTCCCTCCTGCCCGGCCCTGGGCGGGAGAAGTCATTTGATGATTTTCCCCTCACAAAAAAAAAAAAAAAACCACTCTCCACAAATTAGTTTTGATATTTAAATGAGTCCCGCGCCGCACCGCGTCGCGCCGCTGGCGATCTCGAGAGTGTTTTTACTGTCTACGATGTTGTTCTTAAACAGTAATGTTTGACCATGTCCCGCGATTTTATAATTTTGCGAGACTAAGTCTGACATTTCATTTTGACCTAACTAGGCAGCTAAAGTCATAGGACGATTTCCCCCCTCCAAGAGTGTATAAATTAATATCTAAATGGGGTTTATTATTTAATGGTAATTTAATCCTACTTTTTTGTCTGAAGAAAATCCTACTTAAGTTAAAGATGTAGTGCGGCCGTTACGTGGTCGTGTCGTATGGGCTAAATGCTCCTTTGGTCCGGCAGGTTCGGCTCAGATTGATTTCTCTTTCTCGTCGGACTAAGTAAAAGTTCTCGGCAGCCCCCCCCCCCCCCACCTCAGGTGCCCGCTGGGGCCTCGCCAGCGCCCGTTTGATCGCGTTATTTCGCAAGATAAGTCCGTTAATTGCCTTTACAGACAGGTTGCTCATTCTATTCCAGATTATTGATCTTGCTGAGAACTTTTTGTATGTCTTCAGAGGGGATTGTTAAACGGTTTTTGTTTTTAATTGAACAGTTCTGTGAATAGAGATCCAACAGCATTGAACGATGAACGTGCTTGTCAGGGTTCGTTTTGTCCGAGATAATGTACAAAGCTATTATTGCACAGAAATAGCCTGTAATAACTGATATAACAACGCAAGAAATGTTTAAGTATATTATTGTTAAACAATTATCTGCCAATAGATATTTTTATTTATTTACGTATCCGTATGGGATATGTTGAACCACATGGAAATGGATGAGTGAACATTAGTGAGGCAGTGTGTGCCACGTTGCGCGCGACGTTACCATTGGTATAAAAAATATCTAAACACGTCTGCAGCGCAATGTTAATGCTTTATAATCTGGTTCAAACCGGTTATTGTTTAAGGTTTTATTGAATTTACAATTCGGATTATCTCCCCTATTTCTCAATCCAGTCGACGCGTTTTCTTTTAATCAAATTGGGCTCTGGTCACCCCTTTCCAAATCATCGACTTTCATTTTAAAATAATTTATTCTGCTCTTGTTTATCATAATAATACTTTAATTCATACAAATAAGTTAAGAATGATTCTAAACAAGTCATGCGTTGGCTGAAGCTGGCTGTATAGGGCCAACACAACTATGAAGAGATAATGCTACGGTTTCTTTATTAAAATATTCATTGGTTGCTCATTGTGTGATGGTCTACGATTTATTCCGTGATCAATCCCGGAGATTATTTAATTAAGATCTTCACTAATCCTGCGTCCGTCTCTAACTCAACTCGTATTGTGTTCAAATTGAAAAACTTTTCTCGTTTTCAACTAATTATATCGAGAGGAAGACGTAAATCTTTTGCAAATATTTATTGAGCGCTCGCTATAGTCGCCGCGTGTCGCGTGCCCGATACAAAGATAGCAAGACCAACAGAAGCTGGTCGCAGTGGCTGGCCGGCTGGCTGCTGCGTAGCGTGCCCTGGTCTGGGCGTGGTGTGTGTCTGTTTGTTCGTAAGCCTACTCACGACATAGACAAAAATCGAAGACTTTGTTCTTTTTTATATTTTCTACCAGCAATCATCAACATTGAGGAGAGAGGTCCCCGGCACGCCCACAGATAAAGCGAGCGCTGGCAAGCGCTGGCAAGGTGATGGTTGATTCTTGTTTTTAATTAATTAATTTTATTATTTTTCGCGGGCCGCCGCCGCGTTGGCTTTATTGGCAGAATTTCTCGAGTAATTAGTCGTTTTATTATTTTATAATATCGGAAGGGTTGAGGTGCGACCAGATGCCACCGCCATTACGAGTCGCCGCCGCCGGTGCTGCGCGCCCACCGCGATGCCGATTTTTATTTATTTTTAGGGTGCTCGAGATTGAACCCTTGCCTCCTCAGAGTTTCAAGACGGAATTTGCTTTCTTTAATTAATTTTGATTTTTAAATTCCCTTTGTCGGGTCGTTAGTACTGTTTAATTTAAAGTAAACTTTCTCTACCGGCTGTCGAGTGTTGTTTGCTTGTGATTACTTGATTAGTATAATTACAAGTTAGTGCATCCACAGATAACAGAGTAATGTGAGGAAGGCAGGCGGCGGGCGAGCAAGGAGCGCGGTCGGTATCTCGAACAAACAATCCATTTGTAAGGAGGCGGTAGGTCTGTGTGATCACGTGTCAGATAATCAGTAAACAATGGCCACCTCGCCATTAAGGTAATTAGTGCGGGACTTAATCCAATTTGTGCTGTTTGTACATCTTGCTCCGGCGGCGGCGGCTAATTAGCGGGAGTGCTGCTCGGCCGCCTCAGCGCCGCGGGTTCAACGAAAATGTACGGGGAGCCGCTGTTTGACGAAATGATGTGAATATTGCCAGACACGGGACATTGTCATACTTGCCATTTTCATTCGTTTAAATGAAATATAGCCATACGTTACTATTTAAAACTCGTACCTACTACTAATATTTATAATTACAATCATTGTTTGTTTCATTGTGCCATTTGGCAGTTTTTATGTGGAAAATCAACATCCATCCATTACTGACTTACTTTCACGTTTGTAATATAAGTGGGTAGGACAATCTAAGTACATCGTTAACATTACTAGCCACATTTATTGATTCTTGACTTCGGTTTCAACCATGTCAAGGAATAGGTACCTACCTACTTTGATTTTGCGAACCGACGTTATTATTTTAACTAATGTTAACGTAGGTACATTTTGACAAATGCCGTGATTAAATGAACTTGTAAATGACTGTCTCTTATCTGAACGAGCTAACAATATAAATGAGACAAGGTAATGTACCTACTGTTTGTTTGTTTATCACGACTAATATATTAATGTTCGACACAATAACGCACAAATACTCAGATAATGCACGAATACTAACAGTACGATGACGTTATTCAGTGCATGGTTGCTCAAGTTAATGCGGATAACCCAAGCTCTGTATCTTCAAACCGTATTTTATGTAATACATTACCTATTTATTGCTCGAAGTCTAGATGCCACGTGTAATTGTTACTTTCATATTAAGTATGTAGTCGTCTCTTTAAGTATGCGAGAGCTCTGCTTCGGCACGAGATTAAGATTACTGAGAGTCCAATCACCCCCAATCCCCAATCTCAAGTAAGTAACAACCCACATAAGGCCAGCAATCCACTTGTAACTTTTTTGGTGTTGTCCATGGACGGCGCTGATTACTTATCATCAGGTGATTGGTGTGCTCGTTTGCAGAAATAGGTATAAACATAAGAAAGGAAAAATCTAATCAAATGATAAAATAAATTCTTACCTCATTGAACGGAATTTATTGCGCCAACCCGACTTGTACCTACTTAAGTAAGTAATCCAAAAAGTGTATGATGTAATTATATTAAGGTTAGTTGCTAATTGCCTACAAGCAATATTTAGATACATAGGATGTGATATCCCAGACTTGTGTTGTGCTACCTGTAGTCACCTGTTGTGCAGGTGAGGTGGGCGTGGCGCGCAGGTGGGCAGGTGCGCGCGGTGGGCGGGGCCTCGCACCTGAGCCTCCCCGCCAGGTACATAGCACCGACACGTAATACATAACAGACACTACATTACACTGCTATTACCTTCGAATCATTATTGTTTGTAATATCAGTCATATCAGTCAGCCAGTCACCTTATTGATTATTAAGATGAAGGATCAAAGAATGGGAACAAACGAATGGGTTGGCTCGACCGGAGTAATACCACGGCCTCAGTGAAAACTGGCGTGGAACAACCACAGCGTTTTGTTTCGCCGTGTGTGTGAGGTTACCGGAGGCCCAATCCTAAATCTACAAATCGCTAATCCCCAAAAGGTCGGCAATGCACTCGTAACTGCTCTGTTCATCCCATCTGATCATCTCCATAGACGGCGCTGATTGTTTACCATCAGGTAATCCGTCATATCGTTTGCCTACCTATCAAATAAAAAAAAAAAAACAAAAAAAAAAGAATAAAATTAAACCTGCTTTGTAAATATTAGTATTTCGCCTCTACGTTTGCATATATTCTGTAAAATCGATAAGGCTTCAGTTTCAGCTGTACACACTACACAGTAGTGTCGGTGTGAGTGGCCACTCAACCCTGCGGCGGCCACGGGTGTCACCTTGGTAGCGCATAAATTTTTTGCGCTGTTAGCGGAGCGGTGAGCGGTGCGGTGGCGACACGGAAAAGGAGGTGCCGTCTTGTGCTCGCGCCGCTGAAGGGTTGACCTCTCTCGGCCCGCGCCGCCGCGGCCACTTACCACTTGTCCAATTCTTACTAGGTATAGTATTGAAATAAAGTGTTATTTCAAAATCGACATAGTGTATAAACAACATAATATAATTAAAATACGTAGACTCAAATCTTCTTCTTTAATTGCCATCAATCATCATTTCAAAAACAACTGGCTATTAGGCCTCCCAACGACTTCCAGTTGACCGGTTGGAAGCGACTTGCACCATGGTTCTACCTTCGTCTTTTATCAGGCCTTCTGTCCATGTACAGTCTCCAACATTGGTTGTTTACTAAAAATCAGAAAACAATTGTAAATTTATTAAAAAGCGTAGTGTACCGAGAGGAGCAGTGCATTGGGTAGCAGGCCGCGGTCGTCGTGTATTGTCTCAGTTTTTCGCGACACGAGGACCATTCGCTCGACACCGCGGGTCCCAACACGCTTAGCATAATTTCCACATACACTTTTTGTTCGCAATCCCCTTCCGATTGTATTGCTCTTGCATAAATACGTACATTTGAATACAACTCCTTTAGGAGAAAGCGAACAAATCGCGGGCAAAGCGAAAGTGTGGAGACGGAGAGAAAGTTCTTTTTTAAATTACGTTTCCACATCCATTCCAATAAGGCGCTTAGATTGGATTTTATCAGTAGGTATAGGACATGGGATGGTAATAGCCACTGTAATAGATACGGAATTTTATGATATGGATGTTTATGAATAACAACTGAAAGTTAATAGAAGACACCTGAGCACACATCTGTCTCGACATCTGACCTATATTATTATAGTAACATCTCTTCGATTGGGAACTACATATGTACAATCTAAACCCAAATATACATTAATTACAGAAATTCAATATATTTGAAAAGATGAACAATAAAAGTAAACATGAGGTTGGGCGCCGCACCTCGGAGGAGCTGATGCAAAGCAAACAGCACGAGAGCGCTCGTAATAAATGAGTCACGAGTTGTGTTTGTCAACTAATCTCACCACGATGCACACACAGACAACTCAGAAGTACGACACGTATAACGTGCTCTGTCTACTTTGTGTGTGTTACGTGATAACATTACAAGCAAGCAATCTGTGGACCGCCGCAACTGTACCTTCTGTTGTATTTATTGTTTGTTCTAGTTAATTGAAATTTGAATGCAAGCAGGTGCGCGGGAGTCAACACACTCCATAAAGGTATCGTGATGCGGCGCCACACGGGGCCGCGCCGCCGGCACATGTCTGCAGGGAAGGGTTATTTATTATAACGAATACAAGCAACGTACTGAATGCGTCTAAATACGGTTCTGATACTCATTCATATAAATAACGGGACAAATATAGCAGTAAGTGGCATCGTCACTTTATGACGCTGTTCGAACTAATTGCTGTCAGTTGCTTAAGTTGTGGTAATGAAAAGGTGAGTGATTGTGTGTGTGGTTGCCGTCAACAAATCAATTTGAAGTCTGACGAGATTTTTTGTTTTAGTATAGCTGCTGCAGAGCAGGCCGATACCTTGATAGTAAGCAATCAGCGTCGCCCGTGGACACTCGCAGTACCAAAGGAGTAACGAGTGCATTGCCGGCCTTTTAGGAATAAGGGTTTAGGATATTTAATGATTGGAAGGTTCTTTTCGTGGGTGTTGTGAATATAAAAAAATCTTAATCATAATTTTAAGTGAAAAATCTTGATCCTAATTGGAACTTGCAATAACGAAACCTTTCAAATAAAGCGAAAGATTATTGATTTGTAAGTTGGACTCCAACATTTTGTATAGACGAGGTGAGTATTAATAAGTATGTATGAAGGATTCGGTGTTGTCGGTGTGAGGTGTGGTGTGCGGTGTGCGGCGACAATCAGCCGCGAGCCGGGAGTGACTTAACGAGCAGCTTATTGTACAAAAATGGCCGCGAGCGAGAACCTGGATTGAAGTGTAAATTGAGTAATTTCCAGCGCGCACCGGCCTCCCTCCGTCTAGCACCGGAGATACAGCGAGTCAACTGTCATTATTATGTCATATTTAACATTTCTTTCTATTGTGCTAAAAAGATTCTCGCAACACTCTGTTTAAAGTTGTTGATTAAAATTTGTACTAATTGTCATATTAGGTGGTTTTGGTTATGAAAAGTTATGCCTAGAAAAATAAAAATGGTTCGTGTCCTCTGTATGATATTTACCTGTGTAGTGACAGCAAAGTAGAATACATTCGTCACTATCTTCACTCTTTTCGTGTGTATTGTAAAAGTCGACTAAGAAACTATACCATACATTTAATTAAGACGGGGCAGTGGTGTTCTCTGACATTTTGTACAATAGACCAACTGTCCAGCCGTGTACTTGATGATTTTTTTTTGAAAATAACAGAACAATGCGATTGCGTAAATTGGTATCATGTATAGGTGAAAATACAAGTAAAAAGCTATACCGAAAGAGAAAATTAAAAAGTTTTAACGTGAAGTATTTCAAAGTGACGTTGATATACCGTTCGGCCAGTGACTGTGTACAGGGGTAGCAAGAGGCGGCGCTCACCTCAAGATGAGCAAACATAAATTGCGCGAGGTTCCGGCACAATCAGCCGCTACACGTTTTGTTTGCGCGGCTACGAACGATTGCTTGCCACGCGTAGCACCTCGTAGCGATGCGTAGAACTTCGTAGCATTCGTAGCAACCGAATAAGGTGCTATTGTGATTGAAGTGTGCTTGTGTGTGTTTGTCGTAAATTGGTTTTACGATTGTATTTGCAATACAGAGGCAGGTGTGTATCTATATTGCTAGAGACTTGTAAATTACTAGGGTGGTGTAATGTTAGATAATATTGCGCCATACTTGTATTTTGATCTTAAGCTGTAATCATTGATTCTTTGTAAATATAAACGTTCAGATATCTGCCAGAAATTGCATATAATCAACAATATATACAATCGATGGTATATTTGTATATACGATGTATGCATACAAGTGATTTTTCTTCCCCCCAAATTAACAGCATCAATACGGGGCAAATCTAATTCAACAGTACTAGCAACATACCTATATTCTGAACCTACTCCATTGTAGCATACATATAACCGCTTATGACACTCAATCGAATTCACTCAAAGTGCAAAACACAAGTATGAGGTTGAGGTAAAGTTATTTGCTCCATATATGCAGTCTAAAAATACATCGTACCATAATATAATAAGACACACTGCCATCGATCTGAAAATCCTTACAAGGCTTTCTCTGTAAATGTAATTACTGGCAATGTTTACGTAAGCCGATAGCGTTAGATTACGGCAGGTATCCGATATGATTTTATTAAGCGCCTCAAATATTTGCGCTGCTCGCCCCCCCTCACGCACCAACAACACGCCGTGATCATATCATCGTATACTTCTTCTGTGAGTGCTTCAATCAAATTTCTCGTGTGTACATTATTTGCGCGGTATATTTTCTCTTTGTTCAATCTGAAAACTGTTTTGGTTTACAAAATTAATTTATTAATCGTAATTTAAGTCATCTAACACTTTTAGTAATCTATACTCATGTTACAAAGAGGTAAAATTTTTAAGTTTGTATGTAGGGGTAATCTTTTGACCCACTGGTCGGATTTCAAGCTACGATGTTCACGCTACGATTAAATAGAGCCGAGCAGCGGGCGAAACCGCGCGAGAGTAGCTAGTAAATTTATATAATGAAAATTTGGTGAGAGGTGGGAAACATATTTCTTTCCAATTACTGTATTGGACTTCCTGTGATCTTTTCTGGCTTGGCAAAAAATCTCGTATCTATGTATGTATAAGTGAAGTTATTTGCAAACTACATATTTAATAATTATACTATATAAAGTTACTGTGTAACAATGATATAACAATTATATTGATACTTGTACTATATTGTACTTAACAGTAATTACTGCGCAATAAATATGCCTACAGTAGACTGCACCGGCCAGTTACGGATTCATTTGCGCAGAGAGCGGTAGACAACAAGGCCACTTAGTGTTACAGGAATATCCACTATTGTTATAAATACTGTTGAAGAAGCCAATTGTGTAATTTATCCATTTTATTTGAAATGTTATGTAATACGAATTTGATAGCTATATTCCTGGTACTTATCCAATAATATTAGTTGCATTAAATTGTATCTAAATACGGTTATTACGTTTATTACAAAATTAAAAACAAAAATTTGTACTACTGACGTTACGTGACTTTTTAGTGTTGTTTTATCAAGTTGTTACAATCAAAATACAACTAGAATAATTGCATTATTTGTTAAACGTGTGATCGACACTCATGCACGGCTAGTGGCGACTTCTGGTGAAGTGTTGCGGCGCAACAACACCTTAATAAACTCGGCTTGTAGCTGAATGATTTGTTGAATCGTGTGAATACTCGTGCACACCTCGGCTGTGGTAAATTAATTTAAAGTCGTAGAAGGACACGGACGCCATATTTATCAGGCGGACACACCTCCATGCTCCGTCCAGATTGACATCCGACAGAATTAACCAATGTTTTACCAAAGATTCGCGCGATACGACTTTTACGACCATGTAGTGTCGTGTGCTACATGTGCTAGTGTTTTTATTAGTCATGATATTGCGCACACACTGCAATTATTCAGACTTACACTTCATTTTCAGACTCCTCGCTTTAATTGTATATAGTAAGCATAAAAGAGTATTTCAAGTAAATGTTAATATCAATATAATAGTATCATATCGTTTGTTTTATTTCGATAGGATCTGCTGTTTGAAAAAACTTAATGAGGTTAATGCCATACTAAAATTATGTCTGATCGTGACGAAACGCACGGGTGTCACAAAGTAACATTGAATTATTATTTGCATCACTGGTCGTACCCACACTAGTACAGTGCCCGCTCCCGGCTGCGTACAGTTTGCCGCTGACACTTGGTGTTGTGTTTGAGTATCTGCCGCGTCGCGCGGTGTTCGCGTTTTTATGATCGCTTTACAGCCCATTATTGCGTGTCGTGTAATAGAAACACTTGATTTGTTCCTCGTCTGCCGCCGCGCGCTGTTTGTAAACAAGACATTCGCCACTTTTTAATTTACTTTTATAACGTTATTGCGGGGGAACTTCACAGACATCATCCGAGTTGTTATTGTGACAACTCCAATTGTGTACTCAGATTACAGCGTTTATTAAAATACAGTTTACGTAGGCAAATAAACGGAAATTATACAATTGTGAACTTGCTACTTGTGAGCAGTCAGGTCTGTTATTCACAGCTGCGGTGACTCCTGACCCCAATCAATTTATCACAAACGTAGAGTAGTGCAGATGTATGCGATTTGTGCGATTGTCTCGCGTCAGTGCGCAGCGGTGCGCCTGCGCAAGGTACACGAGGCGACAATAACACAACGATGGAGCGACACGCGCGCCGCCGCGCCGCACGTGTACACCTCGCCCTTGAACCATCGCGCGCTCTGACCGCGCCGTACGCGCACCACGTCAGTACATGGCTAATGAAAGTCACCAACACACTAACCTGAGATTTGACTAGTAACAAATATACAAATGACTAATGTTATAATAGGCAACATGACGTGAGCAGAGTACAGAGTGGATGATAAGTTTCGGAGTCGCGAGTTTATCCTTGGCCCGCGGTCTATTTATGTCATCGTACAGATTGCATGTGACGTGTATCTGACACTATAACTATACTTCCAAATCATCACACACATACATTATCTTTAAATTGTAAATTTTGTCTCCGAATTTAATAACATTATGATTCATTACAGTGCGGCGCTAATTCCTACAAGCGACATCAATATTCTTTGACGGGAACAATTTAAATGAACGTGCGAGTTGTTGGAGAGAGTTGTCCATGTTGTCTGTTTTTACAAAAGCTATAAATCCTGTCCGGTGTACATGTGTGGGGAAAAGTGAAAAGTTGCGGCTCGCTAATGCGCGGCCGGCGTTAGATTAAAAACGATTGTGTGTTCGAATCTGGGACACCGCGGGACGCTCCGTGACGGCGAGCGACCGCCGGCGGCCCATGGCACGAGGTTGCGCGGGTTCTACAACAACATGAGCAGTCGAGTGCCTGCAGAAACATCATAACATTTTAACTGTAGTATCTATGGGAGCAGATTGTCTACAGCTAATTCGTTAGTAACCACGAGGTATACTAAAATTAATGTTTAGGATAATGTACTACCTATAATTTGATAGCGGTTTTCCTCACAGGAAGTGCCCGTTTAGGTAATACTGACATATAAACCATAAATACACAATTAGGACCTTTCCTCGTTTATAATTAAATGTGGATTGTTTACACAAAGTTTGTCCAAAAAACGCGGTCCTCTTTACTGCGCTTGTAACTTCATGGCGAGAGTCCCGCACGGGCTGAATTAAAAAGTTGCTCTCGCTACTCAGAGGATTAAAAAGTGTGCGACCGCTGCCCGCCCGGCGCTCGCTTTGATTGTAACAGTACATGTGTGTGTGTGTGGTGTGTCATTGTTACAGGTAACATCAGACATTTACATTATCATCATCACACAGGTCACACGGACGTCATTCTACGACCACTAAGCTTGGTTGGATTACATCGGATCTAGCGGATCCCTGCGAGAACTTGTAAACAATAGAATAAGAGGAGCTACAGAAAAAAAACAGCATATATTAAGATTCAGCGTGATATTGAAGATTAGATCTCAGTCACCGGTTGCCAGTCAAGCTGTGTGACCGGCGGTGATGTAAATTGGCGGCATATACTACTGTTATTTTCCGTGTAAAACTTATGTTAGGGAATTATTTATATAAAATACAATTGACGGAGGTATCTAACTACAACAAACTGAAAATATATGTAATTATTTTAATAGGCGTTAATAAGTGAAATGTGTGAAAAGGAATTATTATACATATGTGCTGCACAAGTAATTACAAACTAATATATCCACGTGCGACAGGATCAAGTAGTGCTGTCTTTAGTACTTGGTGGCTGCGCGGATGTCCACTGATACATATGGATGAGACAACTTTGATTGCTTCCTAGATTATGCTGATACTTGTGTGAAGTGTTCACTATTATAGGTACGCCTGCAATCATCTAGATTTCCTTGTGACTATCTTAAATAGGAATTTTATTTTGGGATATTATTAGCTTTATTTAATTGTGGTGGCACGGAGCTTAAGGAGCTTGCTTCTTATGCATAGGTTCGGTATTTAGAAAGTACTGATATAACTTTTGGAAAGTTTATTGGTACTAAAAGTATACAAATATATACTTTCTAAGTTTATTTAGATAACACTGACATATGGTAAAGGAAAACGTCATGAGGAAAGCTTGGAATTAAATGTCTAATTCAAAAATCTGCCTTGAGCAGGCGTCGTGGCTTACCTTCTCTCTGTGAGAAAATACTTTTTCTAAGCAGTGGGCAGCCATGTATAAACAAGTATGATATAGTTTATTTAATGAAACATTAAAAAATGAGATTGATTATGACGACGTCATGTATAAAAACTGGGGCTCAAAATACATATATATGAAAAACCACATTTTTGTGTTTCCTGTGGTATTGTGTGTGACAATGGCAATTTTCCAAAATTCTAATACTAAGAATGCTTTCCTTGATCCGGAAATGAAGGCGAAAAAGGTAGCTCGGTGTTCCTAATATTTCCTAATATTTAATATTTAAAAAATAATCATTCTTATATTACTTTCATTGATTTTTTTTAACTTTTTTTTTTGAGGGTGAATATCATCAAATGACTTCTCCCGCCCAGGGCCGGGCGGGAGGGAGTGTCAGACTCTTACTGACTAAAAACCCCCCTGTTCCTTCTCCTGCTCCGTGTTTACTTAACCAATGTAATTAAATGTTATTTTAAGTTGTTCGTAGAAATATGTATACGTATTGGGGCAAGTCGGGGCGTATTCTTGTGATGTAAGGCAAAGTTGTCACGTATGCAAATACATGAGAGTGGAGTTGTGGACACTCGGACTCCGGACCTCGGAGTGCGGCTGCTCGGGACTTTGTCACTAATTGTGCACAACTCGCAACTTGCTCACTCACCGTAGCTGCGGCACGCTGGGGACACACAGACACTTTTACTCTGTGATGGTATACCCTATATTCCGTTGTAGCAATATCTTCTCTCAAGAATGCCCACTAATTAGCTTGTAATTTGAGCCAGGTCGAGTATGCATTTCTATGTCTCTAGGTTTACTCACCATTGTTTAAAAAAAATAGTTTTAAAACTTTCATCGACTTTTTAAATTGGGTTGGCGATATCTGTTTCCTAATATTTGTTTTAGGAAAAAAGACGACTATTAATAAATAATATTTATGAGACAACATTATTATACCTCCACAAATTGAGAAACCAACGTGTAACACTAATGTCGCATCAATCGTTACAGAAGCCCGGTGAGTGTCTGTGTGTCCCCTGACTTAATGTAACTTTCTTAGAGTTGTTAAGAGGTCGCCAATTAGTCAAATTGCGCAGCAGTTAGTTGGCGACTTGTTTAAACAGGATCCGGACAGTCTTTGATTCGGGACTTTGCTTCATTTGGTCTTTGCATAAATTAGAATTAGGACCAGTGTCCGATCTACCTGCTGCTGCTAATTGCTTACGTTAATTTCCCCGTGTTAAGCCTGTTAGTGTAGAGGCTTAAGATGTGGAGAAGGTTGTTCTAAGATGCCCGTCTTGATATATGCGAAGGGGACGAATGAATGATTACTTAAGTGTAGAAAAATTCACTAATACGATTATGTTACAAAAATATATAGTTTGTGTTATCAGTTATCATCAGTATGTTAAGATAAAAACCAAAATAAAATGAAAGAATGGAGCAGAGGTGAGGTGAAACGATTGCAGAAAATAAATTAATTATAGCGCTGGTACCGCACCGTGTCCCGCCGTGCTGCGCCGCGTCGCGTCGTGCTGCGCCGCGTCGCGTGTTGTCGTATGGACAGCGCCAGTGTCGCGCGGTCCGAGACACTGGTATGTAACAAAACAACGTCACCCGGGTCCGCCCGACTCCTTACGATTTACAATGTAAATCTCGGAAAGGAATTAATTGATTGTTATGTTCGTTTTCTTTTGGGGAAAACAAAAAGCAATATTATTTTTAAACATTCCTATTAGAGTAATAGCTCAAAAAAAAATGTTTAATCTACAAATTGAACGCTACCACAACTATCAATTTACTTTGTATATAACGAAGTATTTAAATACAAAATTATTATATTGTTTGTTAGTCACACAAGAGAGTCATTACTAGAAGTGTCACAGCATCGGCCGTGAGCAGATGACGCGCGGGGCTCCGGCATAAAACGTAAGTGCGCGTTACACAAAGACTACAGGCGGCTAATCGTTAACCAGAACACTTTAATTTATCTATAACGGCCGAGCTGGTACAAAGTTGTCTCTAAATAAACATGGAACTTGAACACCACAACTTGGACTGCAGAAGGACAACAAAGTAGGGGTGTGTCAGTCTCTCCCTTTCGTTGATGCTTGTGAATACAGCACAAACATATATAAAGACTATTTCAAGAGTAAATTATTTGTACTTTTGTAATGTTCAAATAGTCCTAAGTATAAAGCTTCTTATGCTCAATGGTATCTCTAAGTGTATACGGATTCCGAGTTGACTTACTACAGTACACCCGCAGTGCGGTGCGCTGGAGGATCGGGCGGTTAGTTGTACGAATATAACCGGGCGCAGAATAACAAAGACTGCACAATGTAGTTTTAATTTTCACATCGGGTTATTTCGGCTTCGGTGGTCCTCGGCGTACTACTGTGACCACGAACTTGCTACTTTCTTATACACTGTTCTTCATGATTTTATTTAAATAGTTCTTTGAATAATATCATACTGTTCAATATTACAACGATGTTCATATAATATGTACTAACTATTTCAGTATGAAGAGGTGGTCACTTTAAATGCGGGTCTGCGGACTCGTCATCTGTTTCTCAGGAGTGATGTTCAGGTGTCGCAGCTTGGAACAGGGCAAGGAACGGGGTGGTTTTTAGTCAGACAGAGTCAGACACTCCCTCTCGTCAGCGCGAGAGAAGTTATTTGATGATTTCTATAAACACAAACAACGCAAATGAAGAGTTTAGTCAGGTCTTGACAATATCATTGCAAAGCATAGAATCAGTTAACGCAGTTGCAGCTGCTTCACACGATGTTATGTGCTCTAACCGAGAAATTACAAAAAATATTGTTATATAATATTTTGTTTTGAGCTAGGTACGTGGTAAAGAAGTATGGTGAAGCAATGAGGTCCGCAGTGTGTGGAGCTCGAGACGTCACCGGTGCGGCGGTGGTGGCGCTGTGTTCTCTGTTATTTACAATATACAGCGGAACGTGTACACTGTGCACGGCCACCGGACGGTACCGCAGCGCACTTACTGCAATCTATTTCCTATTGTGACTTACTTATAGAGACAAAGGTACACCATTAAATTACGCACACTAACAAAAACAAGGTCTTTCGAGTATTTATTTATATAAAGTTTCGTTTAGTAGGTATAATTGCACATAATGCAACTGCAGCAAAAGTAATGTAACGTCCGAACCAATAAATTAGCTAAGTAACTCCCTAAGTAAACCTTAAGCCAAGATTTAATGAGGAAATCTAAATCGGAGCCAAATGACCGGCCAGCCACAAAGAGAAGTACTCTGCGGCGCGGGCGGGGCTATACTTTACTTTCACGTTTGATTTAGGCAAATTGACAGGAAGCGAGGAGACACTGCACCAACCGAACTACTATTTATATTAGAGCTAAGACAATGGAGGCCGCCAGAACCGTGTATCTTATACGAAATTGTGTTATGTAGTATTATTGTGACAAAATACTTACGATGTTTCTTTTATAAAGGGGTCTCCTTTACAGTACTTTTCGTTAAGACCAATATTTATATCATAACATAGAATATAAAAATTACAGGTAAGTCAAGTATATCTATATGCATTTGTCATTTTGCAGAATATATTTTAGCAAGTTTTGCTACGAAGTAGGTTCGGTAGTACTTGTATAAAATCTGGAAATGAAGTAGTTTTGCATTCTTACTGCATTTACAAAACAAGGCGTAATGAATTAATGTGGCGTTCAGCGTTCTAGCTGCGAGCAGCGCAGCGCACGAGCGGAGCGGGGCGGGGGGCGGACAGCGCGCGCGTCACCGTCCGCGGGATTTATAGCCCAACACTAATTTATAGTGGACCAGCGACCAGCGATTAATGGAAACACTTATTCCAACTTAAATGTCGTTTTATTTACATTTGTAAGTACAATCGAGGTAAATGTTTATCTATTTACGTCTACGCTTGTATAGTACATAACGTGGGATTTTTGGTGACAATACTATTCACGCTAAAGTTTGAAAGTCCATGTAACAGCCGAGCAGACAGTTACAGCAGATGAATCAAATAAAAATACTTTTATGAATAAATCGGAGCAGTAATTTGAATACCTCGATAATATCGTGCGATATCGATAAAAAGTGAATTATGTAGATTTACGCGAGTGGGGGGCGAGTACCCCGGTGAGGATAGGTTCACACGCCGTTGGCTCCGTTAATATTCATGTCGGCCGGACGGGAGCCCGTGTACTCCGTGCACTCCGCGTGTACCTGTGCGGGGCCCTCGTCTGTTTGCGCCGCAAATTGTATTTAATTGCCTTTTTCGCAAACTGAATATTTTCATATGTAAAGCTTATTGATGGTGGGTCCATTTCTCTGTTCAGTAATTTTAGGTACTCGTGTTTACTTTACTCAATGTGGGTATGTACAAAAAATGTTTTAATAGGATTGGTTAGACATATTTCAGTGATAATGATGGGTGTAATCCTAGTTTTTTGCCTTTAGTTGTAACTTATTTGTCTAGAATGTAAAAAGCCTGGCGTCTCGGTGCAGACTCACAAGTCAATATTTTATAAAAGTGGCGTCGAGACCTGTAGTTGACAGGGATTATGTAAATTAATTGGGGGCAAATATTAAATAAACACGATCCGCTTGATTTGTGACGAGAAAAACTCAGAGGGGGTGACGAAGGCAGGGAGGGGGGGGGGAGTGAAGAGGATAAATGGGATGGAAAGAGCTTTGTTTTTTACGAGCCCACGCACCTAGCACAGGAAGCTGTGTTATGCTAATCATGTTTTGTCATCATCTCAACTTGAGATGTCGATGGAAGAAACAAAATTATTTATCGTTCGTGACTATTTGAGGAACTGATGGCTATAAATGGTATTTTAATTTCATACCATTCCTTATAGTGTTTTAGTAGTTACGTAGTATAATACCTATGAATCTTACAAACCGTTTCATGTGACTCTTGGACTAGAAATACATAATTAGTTAGGTTATTATATTATAAGAGAATTACACAATAAGAATATACGGAGACATGTTCTAGATATTTAAATAAAGCGGGTCGCAATCTGCGGCTCGCAATAAGAGTATTATTTATGTAGGAGTAAGTAGCGCGTGATGGGCGCGATACTGTGGCCGCCGCAGTACTGCCATGGCGGTAGACATACAGGCCATTACACGGTAACATATTGTTGATTGGCCGAATTTGACTAAACCGCAATAGTCGTGCGTCATGCCCACTGTCCTCCACTCGTAAGTTTTTATTACATGAGTCGTACCTACGCACTGCTGTGTGTGTGCCCAGACGTAATATCCACGAAAAAACGAATGTTCATATTTTTTTGCTAAGATAGCCGGTAGCGACAGCAGAGGAAATTGCCTGTGTGCTGACTGCCTCACTGTTTACCCTGGTGTGTGAAAATGTATAATCATTGCCGAACAAGTGGTGAGAGTATTTATGATGAATGCAATGACTTTGAAATGAGAGAACTTGAAACGGAAGCAATATGCTTATTTCTCTCTTGGGCAGGCTTTCAGACATTACTTCTTTAAGATTATTATTTATCGTATTTTTATTTTGGTAGCTTTGTTTTATCTGTCCATTTGTGTGTAAAAGTGGTAACCTGGGGCCGAATTTTCATCTCAACTCAGCTTGGTTGCCATCCTATATCATAAAAAATCTGGAAGTAAAGGTAAGTAGAACATTAGATATAAATAAAAAACGAACGCTACAATAAACGAAGAAACTATTTTGCAGTGCGTACATTCGCGGTCTCCGTGTATTGTACCTATTTGAAATGAAAGCTCAGATAAAGCCTATTATATTTGCATAGAGAGAGGTCGCTCGTGCCGCCACAGCGCGTATTGACAACACATCATATGCTCATCTCAGTGCTACAGCGGCCGCCGACCAGCTCCGCGGCACCAACAAATATACAGACGATGTTATTATTCGTAATCGTGAACACAAAGCACTTGACCTGAACAAGTTGCAGATACTACTATTAGCCAGCTACCACGTAACTTTAATCTGTTGCCAATAAAATATTTTTCGTAAACTATCCATATACTACTGCAACTGATCTACAATCTACATGTACATGCATAGAGCACAACACTCGAGGCGTATCATTTCAAAGTGAATAAATGAAATTGGCTCGTGCCGTATTTTCCAATACATTACTTAAGTAAATTGAACTTATGAAGCATACATTCCCCTCTGAAGATTATATGAAGGTAATTCAGTCGCGCTCACTATCCCAATAAAAATAAACAGAGTTCGTCTCAATCAGACGCGCAATCAGGTGCTTTTATTCTCATACACTCTCATACAACCTCATCCACGCTCATACACGACACCCCCACGTATGCTCCGACTTACTGCGCTCTTTGTGCGGAGGCCATTAGAGCGGCGGGAGTGCGCGACTCGCGAACTGTACTTTAACTTCAACATGCGCTTGTTCTGAACTGGTTTAATGAATCAGATCACCATCGAAGTAGACCACTGATGTAGTAAAGTTGATTAAGACAAAGGGTATTGAATGTCACGGCGCGTCTAGATACGCCGCCCGCGGGGGCCGCCAGTGTAGTGGCCCCGCAGAATGTGTGGAACGCGTCACGCGCGCCATTCTGTCAGCAATATTGTCTAAAGCAATTTGTATGTAAATCAATTGTTGTTAATACTATTTATGCCGATGGTTATTGAGCATTACTATTTACTTTCACCCTCAAAAAGTTAAACGAATCTCATTCTTATTTACATATCGCAAGAGGCGATATTTCCATCAAATTACTTGGGTTACTTAAGCCAGGTTGACGAAAAAACATGAAGCCGAGACGTGCTGTTAGGGAATTGTTAATAAGAGATTGTCTTACTGTGAGCCTTGCCAGGGATTATGGCGGTTATAAATTTTATTATATTATAAATAAGAAATTTATGTGTGCTCTTTATTGGCGTTAAACAGAGATGGGGACAGCGAGTCATGTGCACCGGAATGTAGGCCGTTTCTACTCTATCCGTTAACGAGCTCGTTACATCGGATGAAAGTAAAGGAGTTCATTCTTATTGGTCGAAATAATAAACACGTTGATGAAATGGGTAATTTAATAGTTAGAAAATGATCTACACCGTTAAGTCGTAATACGATTCTTAACAAATATTTATTTCCACAAAATACAAAAGTGGAGCTGAGAAACAATTTCCTTAGGTTGGGAGAGATATAAGCTGGAACAAGATAGAGTTGGTCCTCGTGCGGTAACAAGTGGGTTAACTAAGTAAATAGGCTCGAATAAGTAAATAAGCAACAAATCACCGCGTATCGGATTAGCGCTATAAGTTATTTATGGCGCTGACTTGGCGATACGTGACCGCGATCTAAGACAACTGGATGCGGTACTTCAGACCTTGTTGGAATATTGGCCATACTTGTCTATGACTATATTTCATTGTCCAATATATTACGTTTACATGAGACGTATTTGAAGATGGTTATTTCAATGATCTATAAGTAACATAAATTAGGTCAAATTTAGGTACGTTTGATATTGTAGAACCAAAACATCACATGTCTTTGTTAAGTATTTATATTTAACTAATCCGGTCTCCATTGTATTATCCGTATTTATTTTAAGCAATAATCTGTATGGTTGGTTGTACAATGGATGCCGCCTCCTAGACCCGTCATCTAAGAAGAGGCTCGTATAAAGTACGCATGTGACAGTGTCCGCGCTCCCATCTCATCGAGCCCCAATTAGGCGCACATACGCGCGACACTGAGACGCGCGGTGCCGCGATAAACTCGCGATACGCCGCGATTACCCTGCAATGGACAAATAAAATTTTTATCCCTCCCTTTTCATTGACCTATAAAGGACAGAAATAAAAGTAGTGATCATAAATTCTGTGGTTTTAGGAACTATTTTTACATATTGATCCGGTAATAAAAAATATTGTTCACGTGGAGTGGATGTTTTTGTTACTGCGAAGGATTTGTGAGATGGATCGTTAAAGACCTCAGTAGCTAATTAGTATGATTTGCATTATGAGCTGATCTTGAGTTTACATTACTTAAATATAGAGGGTTACATCTTTTCTCAAGTGGCTTCCCAATGACAAGTCGATGTAGAAATGGTTAAATAATTGTGCAGCAATGGAGCTCCGGTCGCCCGTCGCAGTCGCGTGTATCTGTCGTTGATTACAATAAATCAGTGAGGCTCACCGCCGCTCTCCGACACTCAGACACACTCGACACTCGCCACAATTAAATGTCTATTGCAATCTCAAGATGTGGCCGCGTCAAGTGTGTGTGTGGCTTTATTGACAGTGGCGCCCTTTGAAATTGATACAGGTCCCATAGCACATGTTTTACTCTGGTAACAGTACAAGTCCATTGTAATTAATGACTATCTTATATGGACTGAAAACAATTGCGAAATGTAATTTATTGGACGAAGAAAATTACGAGAACCATCTTATACTGATGAAACGATATAACAACTGTTATAATCTAAACGTAAATAAGACACGAGATTTTACGATTTTATTGTCCGAAGCCATTTCGTTATTTGTGGGAACATAAAATATAAGAAAGAAAATTCATTCCGAAAGAGTAGATAAAAGATTGTTGGCAAATAACGTTAAGGAAATAAAAAAGCAGAGTTGTGCCGCTGTAGCAGCGTAGCGACGGACGCGCGACGTACCGACGCGCGGGCGAGTAATCAGCAGACAAAGAGGATCGTCTGTAGCGGGTCCATAAATCAAAACACGAGTAAACGTCACTTTTGGACGATCGTAAACGGAACAACATTTACAGTTTTGTACGATCCGATATTGCTTTACACCACAGAGTAATGTATCACTCACCACAACCTCGTTGGACCTCCAGCTGTTCAATCATCTGCTGTAGATAGTGTTACTCTGTGGCGCTTCCAATACGGTTAGAAAGTATTATGAACGCGCACGGGTAAAGTGTGGGTATTAAAAAGGGCGAAACAATTTGAATAAGAGTGCGGTCGCGATCCAATTTTGTGATTGTGCTTTCTTGTTCTATCTGCTTATTGAATGTAATGGTACACAAATATATGTATACGTACTTCAAACCGCATTTTTCAAATTCATGTTATTGATGATATTAGGTATTTTTCTATGTGGGATAGCATGTGAGCCGACGGATTACTAGTAAGAAATGCGGTTGTGATTGTTTCACGCGGGTTTTCTGTTTGGCCGTGGTATCACTTCAGTCGAGTCGACCTATTCGTGCCCAAGCATGGCTCTCCCACACTTTTTCGTCTAGGTATGTTCAAATAGTTTTTCGTAAAACGTGAAGTAGGAAAATGTTAGTTGTACCAGTGATTGGTGGTAGTCACCCAGTGATCGCAACGCCAATGCCTTGAAGCGGATAAATAAAGTAGATATATAGTACGCCACTAGTGCAGGGCCCGGCTCTTACGGCGTAAGTACATATTATGGGACTGGGAAATCACAAACATGGCGACATACTTTATATTTGTATAAATGTTTTCGCTGATTGATTGGTTCTAAGTTAGAGTACGAACGAGGCAGTTTCGGTTCACATCATGATGATTTTAGTCCATTAAGCAACTGCACTCGTAGACTTCATATGGCCGTGCTACTGCGTGACCGTCCATTACAAAGATTAGTTAACATAAGTAGTCAAAATTATACAAAAAAATAGTTACATTTCCCCAGCGCTTACATCCCTGGAACAGTAACAGAAGTGCTAGTTGCCCGCACTGGGTAGTAGGAGCGAGTGGTTAGGGTTGTTACAGTTTATAGCTCATCATAACTGCGTGATGGCCATCGCGCTTATCTCGGTATTTATTGTTCTTTTTATAAACTACTAAATATTGAGGAAACCGGCTTCTTGGAGCCCGACTCATGCTCCGGGTATTGTAGTAAGTCGCTATTACTACCTACTCAACTGCTTGCCGGGTTTTTATACAAACTTTCAAATACTATATTTGTTAATGTTGGGAGTTATATTATTCAATTGTCTCGGGAACCTATTTTAATGTACTGATACGATTCAGACGGTGAATTATTTTGCTTATAATTGCATATTTTTTCATTATTCAGTAAAATGAATTCATCACTCCCAGGTTGTGTGTAGGTAAACTTGCCTAATTCGTACCACTTAAGGAGAACCTCGAAAATTTTTAAAATGAACAATGATACACAGTTATTTATATTAAGTAGTTATAATTAAACTAATGTTCTATTAGTATTCCGATAAAAAATAACATAAATCTTATAAACTTCGGAGAAATAAACAATATTCAAAAACTTAAAAAAAGTACGATTTAAGACCATTGATCTTAAATCGTACCAGTGCATTCTTAAATCGTACTTTGAGGTCCTATCATTGTTTTACAGTCTTAAAAATCACAATCTTAATCATCTTCTAATCTTTTTAATCTCAATGTACCTAGATTACCTAATTCTTATTAATATAGCGGATGGTCTTTTCCAAATCTTGAAAGTCATCGCAGTAATAAAATTTAGTTTTTTTTAATTCGTCTTGCACATAGCTCATGTACCCATCCTTCACAATTACTGTATAAAATAATGTTTTTTTTTAGTTTTATTAAATAAAAACACAAACTAAAAAATAATCAAATAAGTAATTAATATTTACTGTGATATTAAACATTGTTTTCCTAAATCGTAAGTACGTACGTTTTAAGAAGTTGCTGCGAGTACGAATTAGGCACAAGTATCAAATGAATTTCAAATTAGCCGCAAAAAAAACTCTCAACGAACAAGCCGGCTTTACCATGTGAAATATATTCACAAATATACGTATAAATATATAATAAACAGTTAAACAACTTATGAACGGTATACTTGGAAGACAGTTCTTGTGAAGTATCCAAAAAAATTACTCAAAAAGTGAGAAACAGTGAGGAAAAACTTACCCGTTCAATATTTTTGTCGGGAGCAACGTAACAGGTGTTTATTTGTCATATGGCAATCTGGCCGACTATTATTGACATTTTATGCCATCAGAGGCGTTGGTACCTATTACCCATGCCGAGATATAGACGAGGTACGATTTAGGCGCAGGTACGAATTAAGCAAGTTTACCTATATGTTTATGTTCGGTCAGTCGTCTTGGATAAATAAATAATTCTAGTTTTATGTTCGAATCAGTTTGAGTTTACACTCGGCGGCAGATTGAAATTGAAGAAACAAATAAGCAAGTCTGTAGTTGTTTATAAAGTCAAGTAAAGACATAAAACGTTCCGTTTTAAATGAAAAAACGATTGTTTGGCAGTAAATGTGCAGGCCGGGTTTATGTGCGGGCGGGCAGCGGGTTCCAGTCCGCGCCGCCCACCGCGGCCGCATAAACAAACACTTTGCGCTTTTTACACTTTACAGCTACCCTCGTAAACGGCGCGACACGACGCGACACGACGCACCGAATCAGCGGTTTGTGGCTAGGGATGGGACGACGCGGTGGACATCACTCGATGCTCAGCTCCACTTGCTGTCTAGGTAGAGGTCTTGTACGTGGACAAGGCTTAGAACTAGATTATTAATGTTTTTATCAACTCAATACATAGGTCGCAGTATCTAATAAAATAAACCGCAAAAATATTAGATGTGGGTGTGTAGTTCAAGAGCAAAAATATAGGTGGGTATTTAAAATACGGATTTATTTTGAACAGTCGTCGTTTAGGTAAGTGATTGAACTTTAATATTGCTATTAAATAGAAGTTGTAATGGTTATGGCTTTATATTCTGAAAGTGTATCGATATGCAGTGGACTGGGACAGCTCTGTGTGCTGTAGTCATCGTCCGTCTTGTACGGCGCGGCTCTACACAATATTTGCATTTTATTCTCCGACTCCCGCCGCCCGCCGCCGCCCGGGGCGCCCGCGCCGTACTCCGCGGCTCCGGCCCAGCTCCGTCGAGATCGCTTTATGTGCTTCAGGTAATAACCTCTTTGACGGACACTCACGACCAACACACTATACCGCCAAAACACGCAAATTTCAACTTTATACCCCTTACACTAAGATGCTTAGGACGCACTCGTTAATTTGTCAATTGTACAAGGGGTTGAGAGATAAAAGTAAACGGATTATTGCTTGTGTATCGTGGAATGGATTCGTGCGGTCGTTTGTCCAAGTCCTGAGTGTCTCAAACTGGAGACGGTCCATGTTCGTGGTTATATTAAATTATATGAGGCTAGCTGGGGCTGCTCGTGAGACTGTCACTAGGTTCTGTTAGAATATTTAACTGTACTCAAACAGATTTAATTATTGATTACTAGTTGCTAATAGATCGCTTTGAAAGAGCGACGCTAACTACCATATGACAACGTTTTTCAAGAGTTTTCTATTACTAATAATAATATTTCCTTATTTGATGTAATTTGAAAACCTCTTAAGTTGATTGAGTTCTGAAATGTGAGTTAGTGTAAGCTGACTGTAAGCAATCTTAAAAGGTAGGTGTGATGCTGGGCGCGTGTTGTGCCAAGTGTAGGTGCAGCAGCTAACTGCAGCTAACAGTAACGAGCGAACTGTTTATCACCGATGTCGCCATGTATGCAAATCGACGCATTTACCTCCAACCCATTAGGGAACAGGGCTGAACATCTTCTAACGAGTCGCTGTGGCGCACACACATGCCTTAGACGAAAAAGTGACAACCACGAAATGACAAATATAGTTTGTGTTTCATACCTATGTATATAAAATTGTAAATACACATATTGTGATTATACTTTTCTCAGAACCAGAATTCTCATCTGTTTACACAAATTATGTACATATGTTGCACGATTCAAGAACTTGACGACATTGAATGAATGGGTTTACACGCAACTTCCCCGTACGTACGTAATTACCGCGCAGGTAAGTATAGCGATGTGGTTTTTCCTACAACAGGTAACCGTACAAACAGATATAATGCTATTGAGTAAATATTGATTTAATATTTATTATTTTAAGCTGAATGAATAATATTGTGATTCATTCATCACACGGGAGATTCCGAATTAATTATATTTAGTTCTTTTTTTATTTAGAGCACACCTAATTGACTCATGTGTACTGAGTCATAACACACCTTTGGCTAACCTGCATCATACATGTTTGTTGTATTGTAGTATTTCCCCATTACTATGATAATTTAATTACATCAATATATTAAAATATGAGTAAATTACTTAAACCTCTTGCAGTATTTGGAGAGATAATGGGGCACCTCGTAATTTTTCTGGATCTCCATGACAAAGCGGCACCCCTGCGCACCGCACATACTTACCTCGGAGCCTTAAGAAAGCAATTATCAGGTCCCGGCAGCGCGGCTTCACATTACCGCCGCTATCACAATGAGCTGCACCTTCGCAGCGACTGTCAAGAAGTAGAAGGTTCACTTACTCAGAACTTATATACCAGCTTAACAATTGGGAGTTGATTACAGCGTATCAAGTTTGTGTCATTTAAAAACAATTGAAACTTCCTCACGTTTTGTGATTTTGACATCAACACTGCGTTAAAGTCACTTACTGATAATACGCTCTTTTCATATGAACTTATCAAGAAACGTTTCACTAGTTTCGATTTAGACCGGCACTCGTGGGCTAAACCGTTAATATGAGTTTCGGCGTAAATCGATTCATTACAAAGTGCTAATAATATTTTTAGTAAAGCTGGCAGTTAGCAGAGTGGAACTTCTATAACATATCGCTTATTGTACATTCTTACCTTGTTGGATAACTGCCTTTGTTGTGTGTCGAGTGTAACGTCTACCGTCTGTTTGTTAAGATTCCCCGCTGCTCTGTACGAGTGTAATTGCCAGTTTATTCTCCATTTTACAAGGTGGTTTGGTATTTACCAGTAGTCTCCAAACAAATGCTAAAACTTGATAGTGATGTAAACATTCGCTCAAAATGTGAGCGGTGTGACGCGCTGGCGCTAATGTGGCTCGGTGCTGGTGTGTGACAAATGAATGGCGGTCATAATTTGAGATTAGGCGCAAATCGAACGATCGACAGTGCGGTGCGAGCGCCACGTGAATTGTCGACCTCGAAGTATGTACTGCTGGATGTGGCCGAGTACATATTTGAGAAATTATTTAGTTTTTAAAGTCTACGGAATGAATCTTTACAGTTAAGTATGAACGGCAATGGTGCTTGGTTATATCTCTTGCGGCTAAATAGTATAACAAGTTAAAGTACGTTATTAGTGTAGTCTGCGTGGTTTTCATTCAGCATTTAATAACACGAACAACATTTCCAAACACATTGCGAGCAGCCCCTTCCAGCAGATGAGAGCGTATGTAGTTGTAGTCCGGTGCCGGTCTCTCGTTGATTACGCGCGGCGTGACAAAGATCCGCCGACAACAATCCACGTCAATTTGTGAGCTGACAAGGTGCGGTCGCGAGCTCCACTGCATCATACTGCGTGCCGTGGAGTCGAACATTCATTGCACTTTTTACTTATTTATACAATTATTAGTATTTCTATTACATTTGTGTTAAATGTGGCACCTTTGATGTGACCGATTCTACTTGTATACATTTTATGAAGTTCGCAGTTTTCGCCCTTTAATTTCAATTTGTAAATATGATGTATTTGGAATCGAACACATACCTGTGACGTGCATTGTGCTGGATCACTAAGTTAGAGCACTCCACCTGTCACTAAGTCACTCTTAATCGTTTACTTTCCAAATATATGTTGGTTATGGAGTCTCCGCGAGCCCTGTTCGCGCGGCCAGTCAGGTCGGTCCGTCACTAGTTTTGCCCAGCTGTAGAGCTCTCGGCCGCTGTGAGTGCTGCCCGGGCACTCGTGGCCGCTTCCACATTTTCAATGCGCTAAATTCGCTCCTACATTGAACGTGTTTAGCACGTTTAGAATTTACTGAAAGGTATTGTTGAGCTATTTCAGCATTGCCGGTTAAATAGAATTCCTACATTTAGGACATCATAAACCAAAGCAGTAAAGTATTAGGAGTTCCTACAGTTTACGATATATCGTGTAATTGTCACTCATACGTTTAACAGATCAGCTTCTATTTTTACGACTGGTATTTTTATAGCATCGTATCTGAACGAAAAGTGGTTCATACATAATAACATATTTTACTAAGTAATAGACTATATTTGATAAGTTAATTAGGAGAAACTGTGTTTAGGTGAGCAGAGAGTGAGGTTCTCGCGATGATATCGGCGTACATTATCTGCGGGCGCGCGCGGACGTCACGTACGTGGAGGCTGGCGGGCGCGCGGTAATGAGCCGTAATGACTTGCCTGATTGCCGCTGGAACAACAAATAACAGGACGCCGCGCATCATTCTCTCGGGTTGCCTACTTCCGCGGACCACGAATTACATTGAAACGTTGCAAACATTTACTTCATTAGGATCATCTACTTAATCATTGCAATATCAATATCACTGGCGCTGTTATTGCTCTAGAAGGTACAATCATTTCAAGCGTACATCTTACATTTGTAATTATATTCATCTCCGACGTATTAAATCGCCGGCCATTATAAAAACGCAGCTGAGTGCTAATGGTGTGGTAATCCCAAAGGTAACATTGCATAATGTGCTTGATAAACACGAGCGGGTGGGACTGAGATTACTCGTCAAGGTTCCCGCCAGCGCCTCGCCAGCGCCACGCCATGTAATCCCGGACGTTAGAACTGAAGTGTCATTAGAGCACGCGGTCCCCGCGCATATTTTTACAATCCTACTTCCCCTTAACACTTAATGCGTAAAGTTTTAATTGAAATTTGATCTGGCGCACTTTTAACGAATTGTCCCTAATAATTATGTGCTCATAATTAAAGTAATGTCTTTGAGTGGAAAGTTATTGGTCCGCTGTGCACAGTCAGGCGAGATTGTCGAGCGGGCTTATCGATGGGGAAATATTACAAATGTAGTAGGTATAGGTAGGTTCATGTTATTGTTGTTAAAATTAAATCCATGTTCGACGTATTTACAGATTGTGCAGTATCCTGTTTTCCTGATTTATAAGTACATAAATTAATTATTTTTGGGATATTGTGCATGTTACATAAGCTATGTTTTAAATGGAAGCATTCCTCTTCATCATGTACAATGATTGTAATTAACCTAATTACCTCATTGTTCAGCACACCGACTGTAGGCGAGTCAAATCGCCGGCCGTAAAGTTACAATGAAATCTAATGCATCCATCTAAAATTCATCGCAACACACATTAAAATAGTCGCGTGCCAATAATCCGACCGTTACAATTCGAACGCGTCGGTAATCCACACAAAAATGGCGACAGCGCGCGCGCACACATGTCCCGCACCTCCCGCATTTACATAATTGAATATTCTATTGTACGTGTCTAATGCTGTTACCCCGAACATTAGCGCTTCCATCGCTGCCGCACTAAACGCCGGCACTGCGTACACTCCAGAGCAGCGCTTTATGGCTTCCACACGACGCGTACACTCGTACACAATGAGAGTATAAAGTTACCTGTAGAGGGTGGCATAAAGCGCCATCTGTCGTCGCACGGGACAATGTAGAGATTTATCGTTGCAAAATGCGCTTATGGGGGTTTACGGGGATTCAGTTTTTTGTTCGCTATCAAGTTTCCATTAGCTAATTTAGTATCGATTCGCTCACGGCGAAAGTTTAGCGGTGCGCGGACGATTCACAATTGATGGATCGTTTTTATTCGTTCCCAACTCGAATGCTCCAAGTTTACAAATTCAATTTTTATGGAGGAAGCGAAATATTTTCGGTAATTCCATTTGTGGCCTGGTCAGGAACAGAGTTTTCATGTTATTGTTTCGATTGTAATGTTTAATGCCACTGCGCTGTTTTATTCGGCTTTGGTTTATAGCTGCTACTTGTATCGGTTCCTTTGTATTTATTTTTACTGCAAAAACATTTAGGCGTTGTTAAGTTTGATTAATTTTAATTATTTCCATTCCAGTGAATTTGCTCGTAAAGCCATAACTAAAGGTAATGTATAACATTTATATTAATCGAAAATGTCAGTGGGAATTGCTTCTGTCATCAATGTGAAGCCCTCTTCGGAGGGGCTACCTCGGCGTCGGTCCCTCACAACATCTGCATTATCTTACCTCCGTCCGCATCCCTCGCGAAATCAGTTACTGCACGGGCATTCAGTAAAGTGCATTTACCATGCCGCCAGTCGAACGTAACAATCATTTATTTCAACTGTATTCTAACGTCAACCTTATTTATATGTATCGCAAAATGGATTTTCAACCGACAGTATATAAACAGTCGTACTTAAACGACGGTAAGTTGTAACGTCCATTCATCACATAAATACAAGTTCTAAGACCATACTCAAAAGTATCAAATTCGCAAATCAATTGAGCGACGCGAGTGTTCCGGTACACAGGCCGTTTAAGCTAAGAGGGTAGTTCACATGTTGGCGGTGTGATTTATCAAATTTTATATGTTGGGGCACGACATGTGCGTCCGCGGACAATCGCTTAGGTGCAGCGCACAGAGGGTGTACAATTAAATATGGGCCGAGGTGGCTAATGGATTAGCAGATGAGCCCGCCGCCTTATGGCGCGCAATCAGAATGTGCAGATGCGCCTCGATTGGATCCGTGCGCTGTGGGTGACGCGTAATTTGTTTACCGGCAGATTGAAGCTAGACATCTTTTTACCGACACACATACGTCGTGCAAATATCTTGTTCGCATACCACGAGCACAGTTCGCTATCGTTGCTTGTATATGGCTCATCGCTACTACCACTTACTCAATTAATAAGAACCATAAACTTATAACAAGAGAGGCAAACAAGATATGGTAGGTCGAATTACCAGGTATGTAACAATATTATTTTCCCAGAGTTAGAATTCCCAAGTATATACCTGTAACTCAACTTAGCCAATAGCCGAGCTCTCGAGCTCGAGAGTGGCTAGAGGACCACGGCATCCATCCGCCTGGCGCTGGTGCTTGTCGGACATTGAAGTTTCGTGAGGTAAGTAAGTACTTGTTTCAGCAGAAGGAATCCCGGATGTCATCACTGCGAGAATTGCCCGAAGGACACGGTGGTGCATACGGTCGCAGAGTGTCCTGTATGGAAAAAATATTGGAAGACATCGCCAAAAAAACCTAGCAAGTTGCCTAGATATAACTACAATAACGTAAAACAGGTTATTATTATGTCTCGTGCACACTTCTAAACAGTGATAAGTTATAATTTTATCTCTGGATCAACATAATATCTAGTTACTATAAGTTCAAGTAAACTTTATATTAAAGGTACGTTATTCTTTGTTTAAAATTAGTTTTTTGTATTTTCTGTAATATTGAAGTACGTTGTACTTGCATATGTACGACCAAATTCTTATAAAATATGTGTTTTCTTGGTTTGCGCTTTGATTTTTTAGTGATAGACCCAAAAATAGAATTTCCCTTAATATTAGTAGCTATAAGTTCGTATACATCATCAACTTATTATTATGGTTGTTCCACGCAACAACTCTGTTTTTTTAGTTGTTTGTTTTTCATACAAGAACCCAAAGCGAGCCATAAATTCCTTATTTTGAAATAATGTAAAGTTTATTTAGACTTACGACTCCCAGGCAAATAAAAGATAACACTTCAATTACAAATTTTAATTATTGAAAATTTCATAGGCACCTATTGTATTAATGATATATTATATGGTGGATATTGGTGAGTGCGATGTTTCTCCTAAAATGTATAATAATAATAATTTATCGACGGTAACGTTTGGTGCGAGCCAGCTTGATGTAATTGCACGCGTGTGTCCCGTCACTCACCGCCGGGTACCGTGCGCAACCTCACCTTACAAATGCTGTGATATTTTATTCTAGATGGAGATACTATATTCCACACTTTTATAATAACTTTACCAGTTTTTAGACTGGTGTTATAAAAAAAGGTCTAAATCCACATTTGAACAATATATTAACACGAGCTGGAAGTCAACTTATTACTACTTTTTGTTTCTTTGCTTTCGTTTGCAAGTCCATGGGTGGCGCTGATTGCTTACTTTTAGGGCACGTTTGGCTCCTAGGTATTTCTATGAAGAATGACCATGAATCGGGTTGGTCGAGAAGTTTAAAAATAAGCCGTATCGTATTATGCGTAATCATTCACATATTAATGTTTCTCAAGCAAAGTAATATTTTCACGAGTATTACTTTGCGTGCTGTCGGTACCGACTCACCTATTCACGTGGGTGATGGATTGCGGCGTCGATTAGGGCCGCGCTGACCTGTTCTTTCATATCTTGCTAATGGCCGCCAGTCCGGCAGTCCGGCAGGCCGACACTCGCTCCTACACCTACATACACCTCCAACGCTATTTACCCTGATATACGCATTCTAGATGAGGTTTATACACCATTTCTCACACGAGAAAAACCCAAAAGAAAAATCTATAAAGCAGTCTCTCTGTACTCAAGTATTGTCAGGGGGATTAGAGAGAAGTTTGATCGTGAATAGTAGTATATTTTTAGGTTATTATGACATAGAAGTGTGGTATAATTATGTACCTATAGGTACTGATGATTCTTAAAGAGCTGCATGCCTACTTAACATCTAACTCAATAAATCTGTCCATGGCACTTCCACAGCGTGTATGCGTGCGGAGGTACCTGTCGGCGTCGGTTGTCAAATATACAAGGGTCATTACTTAGAGCATCACCGGCCGTAATTAATATAACGTGCGTCTAAATTGAGGCGACTGCCTTTTTGCTGAGTCGATGACGTGCTCGGCGGAGGGGGAGCCACGGGAGTCAGTGGTCGGACCGTGAGTGATATTGCAGTAATTGCTTTCTGGTTTAATATTAAATTGATTTGGATATTGCGACGTACACTTTTGTTCCAAACCGTTAATTTACCTTAACTGTGGAACTTGACTCTGTGACTCACTGAAAATACTAAAGTACCCAAAACATACTTTTACATTAGGATGCTGGTCGGTACCAGCGCACATACTTATACCTTTAACCTCTTGTCTGCCGGTAAATGACAAACATATGCGCCACGGAGTCTCCGTACAGAGGTACGGAGACTGCCCAACTGCCAACAACACGGTAAATTACATCAGCGGACGACTGCAGTCCGTCATTGTCTAATCACAGTACCTGGAGGCTATCGGCCGCAGTCAGCACTACACACTAAATCAGGACGTCACTGGCTCGCAGTCACACGATTTCATATGCAATTATATATTCAGAAGTTTCATTACTAATGATTATCAGTCCTAATGAGGAATCTCAATAAGTAATCCGACTTTGAAGGACATCCTAAGAAAAGTCACCATCAACATCAGTCATTTGCCTACTGTGATTATTTAATAACTAGCCTATGATAATGTAAATCATGATATTTTCATGAAGACGACTATCACCTTGAATATTTGAAAGTTTTCGATTTTGGGGTTGTGATTGATTGGCAATGTGAGCGGTCCTTCTGCGCGTCATCTGCGTACTGCAGCACTGGGGCTATGTACCTGGAGTCGACAGTAATTAATGTGGGCCCTGCGCCACCAGAGGGCAGCAGGGAGGCGCGACGAGCCGGCGCCGCTCAGGTGGACGACACTTGATCGTTACACTGGGGTTTACCTCCCAGTATACATTAACGTATACATACATTAACTATATTGATGAAGGGTCAGCGTTTCCAATCATTAGAAATAGTTTTCAGAAACTGAACCTTCATATACATTTTTGATAAACTTATGTGGCATATGGGGCATGCAAATGACGTTCTATATATTTTGTTTGGCACAAAGAGGCTATTCAGATAATTGTGAAACAGGTCCTATTATTTAAATGTCGTCAACTTAATTACCGCATACGAGTGCACGAAAATGGTTGTGAGGTTTTATTCGAATGTCCTGTAAAACCTTACCAGGTAAATAATACTTTTTCCTATATCTTATAGAGGTGGTATAACGTGTACGCTCTCATAGTGTGACCTCTAGCATAAAATATATTTTGTGGCATCGGTTACCTAATATTAGAATAAATATTTAAAGCTTGTGATAAAGGAGATGTTGAAGCAGTGTATCACCAACTCACACCTCGATGCACAGGAAGCGTGTCCAACATTTATGGAGGACAATATTTTAATTTCTTTCGTTCCAGTGTGGTGCACAGCTGACTGGCACCTACTATGAAAATACTAGCATATTAAGGGCGCGCTCCGCGTCGGTTTCGATTGCTCAGTAATTAATCTCACCTCCTTCCACCGGCCGCTCTCCCCTCGCCTGGTAACATCATGTCCCATTATTGATAACTCTCGATCGCCGCCTGAAATGTCCTCTATGAGGAAAACATAAAGGAACTAATAGTAAGTTCGTTAATTAATACTTCGTTAATCCTATTTTAATTTTCAATATCAGAAAGATTGTTACACTAATTAAAATTTTGCTTAAATATTTTTAAAACTAGTTTTCTTTACTTTATTAAAATTATTACTTTTGTATCTGCTAAAGGGATATGCAAATATTCATTAAAAGTATGTTTCTCCACACTTGCAATTTATTGATAACTTTAGCCAGAAAAATCGTTTGACGAAGGCATTTACAAAGTAGAAGAAGATAGATAGAATGAAATAATTCGATCTCGGTAACAGTTAGAACATCTGTCACGGAACATTTAGACAATATGGAGGACGCAGTCTTCAGCAATAAGTTAATGTTGCCAGCTCGTCCAAAATCTGTGTGAAGTGTTCCAGCAACGTCGTCGTGAGCTGCATGTGGATGTGAAATGGCTTAATATAAAAGAATCGGGTGTAAGTGCGAATAGCCAGCCGCCGCCCGCCGCACGCCGCCCGCACGCAATCAAACCGCAGTAAAATCGCAGTGCACTGATAACTGTTTTAGGACTGTGGTATACTGAGATATTTCATCAAAATAAAATATGGCAGGACTTACTGAACCAAAAGTTATGAATAGTTTCACGTATAGAAAAACATATACTTTTAAGATGTAACTTTAAAACGTTAAAGTTACAGTTAGTAGTTCTAAATTAGCCATTTCATTTAGGAATAGAGTATTTTATTGAATTTGATCGACTATTACCGAGTAATCACATTTTTGACTAACGGGGTACATTACAAAAACTTTTAGATTTTATTTGAGTCCCGTACCGTATCGCCATTGCTAAAACTCCTGCCGAGTTACCATACTATACCGATGGTACCATTCTAACGACAAGTATGACACTACAACGAAGCTGTTCTATGAGTTCTTACGAGTTAAATACATTAGATAGGATTTAGTTTATAAAATCATTTGCTCCACAATAGTACTTTTTCTTGACGCAAGTGGGGTTCACAATAATTGTTCCATGCGCAAGCCGAATCAACGATACATAGTATTTTTTTTTGGTTCTTGACATTTCTTCTACGAGTCGCTCCGAGTGTGTCAGTGTGATCGAGGAGCAGTTTTCATATCGGGCGCAATACTGAAGGCGGCGAGTGATTTATCGAGCGCTGTGCGGACATATGAGCTCGCAGCACATGTCGCGAGGTGAGCCAGCGCCACGGCTTTATTATCTCCTAGTACTTCGAGAATTCAGCTCTTTACCAAAATGTAAGTTTTCATAACTTAATTTACAATAAGTTTGTAACCACATACTACTTATTAGTCGGCTCCTTTTCAATGTCTTGTCACATTATTGGCACATTGGACATTAATACAAAAATAAGTTTTGTATTAATGTCCTTTACTAATATAAAATACGAAAATGAAACGCTGTGTATATTTAGCAAGCAAAAATATCTTCCTTCTTATAGCAAGAGTCCAATGTGGCAATCGAGGATGGTGATTAGAAACATTAGCATTTCACGGTAAATACTAATTGGTTTAAGGATAACATCATATTGACAACAGCAGGAAATAGATTTGAAACAGTTAATAACACTGTGTTTACAACTTTCGTGTGACATATTAGGAAAATTAATTATTATGTTTAACGGCTTACTCACGAAACAATTTGACG